ACTTGTGCTTGGAAATTAACAAGAATCTTCCCGCTTTTCCTTCATATCGATCTCCCTTTTTCTTCCTTCTTTATCCTCTTTCTCGTTTCTTTTTAATGTGATCATCATCATTGACAAAGAGTACGATCGACTCATTCAAATTATATGTAAAAATGCTTCTAAAATAAAGGAGAAAGGGACAACTAAGAAATATGAGATTTTTTTTTTTTACTAGTATTGCTTCATCTCTGATGTCTCATTCGAAGAAGCAGGCCGCTCGTCTCTGCACGTTACAAATGCTCAAAGATCATAGGTTGAAGAAGAAGAAGAATCTGCATGATTATCGAAGAACAACCATTTCTGATTCATCATCGCCTTGCCTTTCTTTGTTTTTTTTTTAAGAATTATTATTACTACTCAGAGAGGGGAAATCATGATTCTGTATGATCATGATTAGTGGATACTTTCATTTGAGTAAATTGTACTCTTTGTATGTTTTCAAAATGCATCCCACCATAGGGAGAAGGAAAGAGCTCTGAGCAGTGCAGCTAGACAGCACAGCAGTCAAAAAAGAAATTGAATTGTTGTTTTTTAAGGATTATATATATCACAGGTTTCATGAGAATGGGAATCTCTTTTACCCATTTCCCCAAGAATAAGAATAAACAGGAGATCGAATTACTATATAGCCCTAAGGTTAGGTGAAATAATAAAAAGGTAACAAGAGAAACCACGTAGTACATAAAGTAATGCACACTCTCATGTGTCCCCAACTAGTGCTCCATCTTTTTATGCCCTTTTCCCTCTTTGTTTATTTGTCAACCCCAAAATTAAAAAGACATACCAGTCCTTCTCTCCCTCCTTTTATCCCCCATTCACCCTTTTTTTTTTAACAACTAACATGTGCATTTAGTAAAATTTAAAATCAGTACTTAGAATCATAAAATAATATATGATTCATCTAGCACCATCGTAAAGTATTTTTTAGTATCACCTAGCATTTTAGAATATTTTTAGTGTAATTATTGAGTGACATTGAAAAAATACTTTATCACCGACAATTAATAAAAAATAATTTAGGATTCTGGATGCTATTAATAAATACTTTAGGGTGTTACATAAATTACAACTAATTTAAGATACTAGATGTTATTAACAAATATTTTAAGATATTAGGAGCTAAGCAATTTGAACATATATATTTAGGAAAACAATTTCATAATGCGAGGTAATAGTTTCAGGCTTCATAATTGGTAATAATTCAAAACCAAAAGGATGTTGAATAAAGCATGCATCTTGCATCATGACGTTAAGAACCGCCCATACGCACATTAAAGTTTGAAGTTTAAACACATGAATTGATTTTTTTTTAAAAAAAAATAGTTCAGAAATAAGCCAAAAAAAAGAATGAAATTATATATACTGTGACAATTTAAAGAAAAAAATATAAGAGGATATTGACAAAAATTTCACATGGATACAACTTGCTTAAATTTAGGAGGAAATTATAATTATAATTTTTTCTTCTTTATTTTGCATATCTTACATTTGATTTGAAAAGGAAAGTGTTTTGTTCTGTCCTATAAAGACATCAAAAACCAAGGAGAATGAAGAAAAATAAACTAACCAACAAAGTACAAGACATTTGCGCCTATATCTATATATCTTTTGTATTATTCTATGATATGCTATGATGCCTCGACATATATAGGTCAGGCATATAGGTGCATCATGCATACACTTGATTACAGCCTCAGCACTGTGCACAGTAACCCAAATAAACAAAGTTACATTTTTATATGCATACATATAAAAAAAGCCGAGGACATCTATATCTATCCCCACTTATATATATAAATATATATGTGAACAAATAGTCCTATGAATCTGTTTAATGGCCGATTATTCAATCTACTTCGTTTTTTTAAAGTGCAATAATTTGCATGATGCAGAAGCAGAATCTTTTTTAAAAAAAGTGTTAGACGGAGATGATAATTTTTTATACACAGAAATTATCAGTATTTTATAAATTTTGTACCCATGCGATATCATATTTGAACCTGGGTCTGTCTCGCTAATAAAATTTTTAAGAATAATTTATCCAAATATAAAGCCTGAGATGTTTCGTTCGACTAATTAATTTCCGTTTAAAAGACACGAAATGAAGCACCCAAGTTGCCTTTTTATTAATTAAAAAGAAACCTTTGATTGCAGGCTGCTTTTATATTCCAAGGTTCAAAGAATTCCTGAAAATATGATTCCACAACGCTATCGTCCAATTCAAATCCTCACAGGCACATCGCATTCTTGTTCCTGTTTCTTTCCAGATAAGCTGGGAGAGAAGACACTCATATATATACTCGTCCGGTCCTTATTATAAGATCCCATTTGACTTTTTATTTGGTCCTAATTATAAGACCCTAATCTATTTTGTCTCTTATATTTATACATTTTTTTCAAGATAATCATTCTAATAATATAGTTTTAGCCAATATACTTAATTAGCAAGGATATTTTAGGAATGACAACACTTATTTATTATAAATAACCAACTTAACTTACTTCCTTAATCTCCTCAAATAAGTCAATTGAGTCTTATAATTAGGACCGGAGGAATATATATATATATATATGCATGTATATTCATTGGCTCTTTTCTGGGGAAAAAGAAAATAACATTCTGCGCCTGAAGTGGTCCATTGATGGCAACAGAAGAACATGATGAAGCTACAGGTTGGGTGATTGATATATACTGAGAGAAATTGATGATTGATGAAGCAGAGACCTAATTACAACAACACTCTCTTTCGGTTTCACTGTTGTGCTCAGCATCCCTCCTTCGATGTGGACTCTTTTTTTAATACTGTTTTTGCCTTTGATATGACCTCTGTCGTCCGTCCCAGCCTCCCCCACCCCTTTCTCCCTCTCAAATTAAATTTTTTTTCTCATCATCTTTATTTTTTGCGTTTTTTTCGGTTTACTATTATCAATTTTTTGATTTGTTCCGAGAGAATTTCAAAAAAATATTTTTAAATCTTAAAATTTTAAATCAGTCTTGTTTATTATATTTTAATAATAATTAACAATATTTGAAAAGTAAATTACAATATACTATTTTTTATAGTTATTTCTGATTTAAAATTTTAAAATTTTAAAAATATTTTTAAAAATTTTCCTTAGTGATAATGACTTTCCTTATTACAAAAATCCAGAACTCTTGGTTTCGCCGTTTTTTATATATCTCTCCTATGTTTCATTTGGCTAAAGTTTGTACTCTTTTCGGTATTTCCTAGGTTTATAATTACACTCACTTCAGTCTTACAAAATACTTTTGACAAATTTCAAGCCTCTAAAATATTCACAGAAAAATATACGAGTCACTATAAGTTTAATCACCAAAATTGATTTTATTTTAATTTTAATTCCCGAAATTCGGAACAGTGGTTTGGATGGTAGTGTTTGAGGGAGCAAAAATTTTAAGCATATTAGGAATTAAAATTTAAATGATATTAAACTTGAGAAACTAAAAATAACATTAACTCAAAATAAATAGGGACAAATTTGTCTGAAAAATTTAAAATTATAACAATTTTACCCCTTATTATTAAAAATGATAACATTTAATGTCACTATTTGAATGATCAATGATAGTTTTTTAACGATAAAAAGCAGAATGACTATAATTTTAAACTTTCAAAATAAACTTGTTTTAAAAAAGACTTCTAAATACCATTACTCTTAAATAAAAATTTTCTGAATAAATTTACATTTTAAACAAAAAAAATCCTCTAAATTCCAACTGAAATAAACAATTTGTTAAAAGAACATAAGGTGTAGGACGCTTACATTCAAGATTATGAAACAAGTAAATATACCAAGAATCGAAAGACACTATGAAAATCCTTATACCGAGACCAAAATCCTTCCTCCCTCTGATTCAAAATATAAACTAAGTTTTGTTAGAGAGGTTTAATTTTTTTATAAGATAACATTCACTTTTATCTAAACATTTAATGAGTTTTTTTTTTCAATTTTATCCCCATACAATCTCTTTTCTTTTTAATTTATTTATTATATCTTTTACTTATTCTCTTCATTAATAAAGGCATATCTGAAAAAAACTATGACTTATATATTTATTATTTCAAATTGATTTTAACTAATTTCTTAATAAATATAAATAAATAAAATTTAACTTATATTTTGAACCGGAAATAGCACGGTTGCGTGTCCAAATCCAGGTCATTCTCTGTAAATGCAAGAATCCGATGATCATTGATCACCATTGATTACAGTGAAAAGGTCAAAAGTAAAAACACATTAAATTTCACCGAATAGCACCAAAGAAAGATCATTGCGTCGAAAATTTAAAAAAATATCTTGGGAAAGGCTGGTTTAGTGTGAAAATAGTTGTCTAATTTTGATTATCTTTAAGACTTTAATGATTAGTGCCAACATTATTATTATTATCAGTAGTATTAATGAGCCATAATCATTGTCGGCATGAAAATAATTAAGGCACAATAAATGAGACTTTATAATAGCTTTTCACTGTCTAAGATTGGCAAAACATGCATAATTCTTACGGAATGAACAACATAATGCTTCCCTTCTGAAAGTGTAATTTGGCTACGAACGACACATCATTATTTGTTCACCCCTTTAATCATCGATCATGTCTCCCCGGGCAATCCTGTTCGACGCAGAGAGTAACTCTCAAGCACGAGTCACACGCGATCAAAACTCCAAGTTCACCCCCTGCCATTTTGGTAATTATGACCAAAAAGCAGTGGCAATCATGAGTCTGACGTCAGCTTTGATGGCAACCCGCACTACCGCATCACCACCACTCCCAACCCCACCATCTGTTCAGATTTCAGACTCACCAAACCAAAACTCCCCCCCCCTTCTCCCAAATACGGACTCTGTTTCAGAATTCCAGAACCCGACAAAAGCAACCTCTGCTCCTCTGAACCCAGTGGCTCTCCCTGTAATTTCCTTAAAAATCGCACCTTTTTTCTGATGAGGCGCACTTTAGCACTTGCATTTATTTTCTGAGAAAGAGGAGGGAGGAGAATATCACGCAGTTCACAGAAGCAGCGATACCTGAAGTTGAAGACGACCTAACCAACCTCTCAGCGACACACCAGCTATCACAATCTCTCACTCTCTTCCGTTCCTCTCTCGAGCGAAACTCATAATATTCTGTTACCCTGTTTTGTTGTCTGCTCCATATTCTATAGTTTTCCCTTCTGATTTTTCTGTTTCCCCGAGCTAGAATGGAGAAGATGATTGCTCTTTACAAGCTTGAAGCTCGTGGGATAGTGTGAATCCTCCGCTTCACTTTCTCATTCACCCTTAGCTTGCTTTTTCAACCTTCCTCCCCCCTCTCTCCCCCCTCCCCCCCTCTTTTTCCCCAACTTCCTCTGCTGGAGGATGGCCTGCCGGACACTGATCGCTGGAAACTTGGATCCACAGAGAAAGAGAAGTGGCGGACTGAGGACTAAACAGGCGGGTAGAGGATCGTGCCGTGGTAGTTAGAACAGGGGGGAGGCCAAACTTGCCAGGAAATGCATCATCTCCGGTTTTGACCTCCGCCCATTTTCTTGTTTCGTGTTGCATGCTATTGTTAATCCATTATTAGTTCGGGAGAAAAACTTTTTCGCGCTTTTTTATCCCGTCGTTGAAACGATGGGTTTATTGTTGAAAGAAGCCTTGAAGACCTTCTGCGGTCGAAATCAATGGTCTTATGCCGTGTTCTGGAAGATCGGCTGCCACAATCCTAAGTAAGTGCCAAAACTGGTTAATTGAAAGATATATGAAAAGAAAGGCAAATACTCCGAATTAATTAATTCGTTTTCCTTCTCATACTTATTCTTCTTTTATGTGTTTATCTGTTGTGTGCGTTTTTGCCTTGTATTTATGATTTAGTTATGAGTTTGGAGAAAAGGATTAGAAAAAGGTTTTCTGTGAATTGGTCTGGCTCGATTCAATGAAAATTCTGTGATTCCAAGCACCCAAATCAATAATCAACATCAACAATATTAGTAAGTATTCGGAAGTGTATGTGGTATATACCAAACGTCGTATCTTATACAAAATTTGTATCAGATTCTATTTTGGTCTGAGGGGACTGAGGTTTACGAGGTTGGTTCGTTTCCAAGATACGATTCACTTTTTAAGGCCTTACTGGCCTTGTTGTGTTCAATTTGTATACTGCTCTCTCTTCGTTACTATTTTGGAACTTTACGCTTTGGTTGCTTTTGGTCTACGAGAATATTTATAGGTGAAGGTTCATGTGCTTTGGTTTGACAGACGCACTATCTATTCTATTGGATTGATTATCTGTGGATGAATCTACTGATTCAGAATTTGTCTTCCTTAGTTGGTTCTATTCGCTCTTACTTTCTTGTGGTACCAAGAAAAAGGCCATCTTTTTTCTTCCGCTGGGATAGGTTAATCTGTTAATCTGTCTTTCTCACGCAAAGGCTGGCTGATGCTATTACGAAATATGAACCATCACTTTAGCTAGCACATATGTATGTGTGTGTAATTTCCTTGTGAGGAATGAAAAGATTCAGTGACATTTCCTTGCTTTTCCCCCCTCACCCCTGTGCAATGCATGAAAGTCTTGTTGCTTATTCTTCAAGTCTTTTTTTGCTTTCTTGCGATGCAGTTATTTCAGCCCAACTAGATGTCGAAGAAGATTCACATTTGATTTGATTTTGATTTCTGCTTATATAATTTTCATGTTTGATTTACTATAGCGGTTTGACTTGGCAGGCTGTTAATATGGGAAGAATGCTATTATGAACCCTTGCCTTGTCCCTTTCCCCCTAACATTGACAGAACTGGGACATCTAACTTGTCCTTCGGAGCTGTGGAAGGCGACAGAGTATGTTCCTTGATTAACAGAATGATGGTGAATAATTCAGTCAACATTGCTGGAGAAGGGTAGGCAAATTCTTTTCGCCTTTTTTTCCTTTTTCACGTGACACTCCCTCCTCCACCCTCTTGGTTGATATCATATCCTTAGTATGAACTGCTTTTTCTGTCATCTCAAAGAGTGCTGTTCTTTTTTTCGCTAATGTTCAGGATAATTGGACGGGCAGCATTCACCGGAAATCATCAATGGATTGTTTTGAACAATTTTCCTAGAGCTGCATATCCGCCAGAGGTATGAAGTCCTTCATCTAATTTTAGTGATGCTATAACAGAGCTCTGATATCGTGGAAAATGTATTTTGGTGGAAAGAAATGGAAATTTTCAAATTGATGGTTGTTTTTTCCTCAGTAATTGAGATGATGATGAACGTGTTAATTTATAATGAAGATTATATGAGCTAAGCCCCTTTGTGCTGAAATAGTAAATATTATCTTTTCTTTTCCCCCCCCCCCCCCGGGAAGGGATAGACTTGGAGCATGTGTACTTGTGAATTTCATTTTGATTGCCTTTGCTGGTGCCTTTTTTTAGGTATACAATGAAGTGCATCATCAATTTTCGGCTGGAATGCAGGTTTGTGGTTATCTGTATTCCCCACATTTTGCTGTAAATAAATTTCACTGTACTGTTTGTAATACCATGTTGTGTTATCTTGCAGACCATTGTGGTTATTCCTGTGCTTCCTCATGGGGTTGTTCAACTTGGTTCTTTCTTGGCGGTGAGTATTTCTGTACTTCTGTAATTTTAAGATGTGTGTTGCGCTTTAAAAATTGCATGCCAAGCTGCTTATTTCACATCGGTCAAGAATGAATTCTCTGATCCTTTGTATCAGTCTAGGACATAAGTTATCGAACCAACCATTTTAGTGATCTTTACAATTTAATGAAACCATTGTTCTCTCAATCAGCTCCCTGATCTGAATGTTACTCGGGTGACATACAATTTATTTGTATATGTTTCTATGATTACCTTGCACCATTTGTGCCTCTGGTTAGTCAATAGCTTGACACATAAGCTGGCTGATGCTGTGCTAGATTCCCATCTGTTTTGCTACTGGACCATGTATCTTTCCGTAGATCCTAGTATGATGTTGAGATCTGGTAGTTTATATTGTTTTTTCTCTAGTTTTGAGCATCTTAGTGAATGTTTTGTTCATGAAGAAAGGCTGACAAATTAGTTTCTCTTGGTTACTCTCCACTAGTCCTCTGTTTCTTAACCATGACTTCTCTTATTGCAACAGATAATGGAGGATGTTGGATTTGTTAATGATGTAAGGAGTTTAATCTTGCAATTGGGATGTGTTCCTGGCGTTCTTCTATCTGAAGATTATTCAACAAAAGTTTCTGCCAATAGTCTTGGTGCAGCTGTTAATGTTGGAGTGCCTGTGTCAGTAGATCCGCCAGTTGTTACCTCAAATTGCAGCCCCTCTGTAGCTAGTGGCTCCAACCAACAAAGGAATTCATCTCACACTTCAAACTCCATTGTACACCAATCTCTGCCACGCGGGGAAGAGATAAATAATGACCAGGTTTCTGTATTGACACATCAAACCCCCAACCTGACTCAGATGTTGTCCAAGTACCATGATAACCTCTGCCAACCTAAGTCGATTACGTTAAACAAACCAAACTTTACTGGCCCATCAGATAATAGAGTTGTGGAGGCACAAGTCATACCCTCAAATCTTAAATCATGTCCCCAACAACCAGGTTTGTGTGATTCAAGAACTGCATTGAATGAATTGAATGGGGTTGACCAATCAAGTCTGAGTGACCGCAGCATGAAGTTGAATGAACAACAAACTTTACTAGGTAGTGCGCATCAGAATTATGTCGATTCTCTTATAAATGTACCAAGTAATTTTAGCATGACTCAAATGAAGACAGACAGAGGCCATATGCCTGACCGTTGTCAAAGTTCTGTTAGTACTCCATTACTTGGAGGAATCCCGATTCATGGTGGAATGAGTAGCCTGTTGAGGTCAAGTTTGATTAATACCTCTATTTCAGAACCTCCCAAAGTTGGTACTGCTGATTTTTCTGGAACACAAAAAGTTGGTACTGGAGTTCAACGTGATGATTCAACTAGAGCAAGGGCTTTTTCTCACCCTTATGTGACTAGTCAATTAGATACTTGTCATAGGCCTCTAGAAAGCTCTGATTGGAAGAATCTTCCCCTTGATTTAAAGTGTGCTCGTGACAAGTTTGGCCCAAATGATCAAATGATAGACAGTGATTTGCTTCAGGCCCTTAAGATCCCATCTCTTCGTCTTGAGGAGCATGTGCCTGCGAGTGATCAAATTATGGGTTTCAGCAATGGTTCCCTCGATAACGATTTTACAAGTCAAGCTTTCACAGAACGAGAAGCTTACGCTCAATCTTCATCAGGAGATGACCTATTTGATGTTTTAGGTGTGGGTTTTAAAAACAAAATCCTGAATGAAAACTGGAATAAGTTTCTTCCTGATGAATCAGACGGTGATGCGAGAGTCCTGGATAAAAAGGCAGCATGTATGAATATGCAGGGTGTAGACGCTGATTGCTATTCAGTTAATGAGACAGTATCAGATAGTGGCATTTTCTCTGGGAGGGGAACTGATCACCTATTGGATGCTGTGGTCTCAAGAGCTCAGTCTGCTGTGAAACAGGATTCTGATGATATGTCTTGCAGGACAACGGTGACTAGGATCAGCAGTGCCTTTGTTCCCTCTTCTTCCTACAGGCAGGTTATGTCCGATCATGCCCTTGGTGGATTGTTGAACTTTCCCAAGACTGAGGGTAAATTGAGTGCTGCAGAAACTTGTTCTCTTGGGTCTGGATATCACAAGGATGATGCTGGAGACTGTTCTCAAACTACTTCCATTTATGGGTCTCAACTGAGTTCATGGGTAGAGAATGTTAGCAATGTGAAGCGTGAAAACAGTGTTGCAACTGGTTACTCTAAGCGACCAGATGAAGCTGGCAAATCAAATCGCAAAAGGCTTAAACCTGGAGAGAACCCAAGACCTCGACCTAAAGATCGCCAAATGATTCAAGACCGTGTGAAAGAGTTGCGGGAAATTGTGCCAAATGGAGCAAAAGTAAAGTCTTTCTTGTGCTCTCTTATCTCTGCATTGGGTTTTTTTTTTTCTTTTTTCTTTTTTAATCATAATATCATATTCAGATACTGAATATATTATTTAATTGCCAAATATAACAGTGTAGCATTGATGCGCTTCTTGAACGGACCATAAAGCACATGCTTTTCTTGCAAAGTGTAACAAAGCATGCTGACAAGTTGAAACAAACTGAGGATTCCAAGGTATAGATGACACCCATTCTTGTTTTGTATAGTTGTATGTCGTGCAATTTTTGTGTCAATGAAGTGGCAATAGTAAAAGGAGACTTCTTTCTTTTCCTGAATATGCAGACTATTAATAAAGAAGGTGGGCTGGTTCTAAAAGATAATTTTGAAGGAGGGGCTACATGGGCATATGAGATTGGCTCACAATCAATGGTTTGCCCTATCATAGTTGAGGATCTTAATCCCCCTCGTCAGATGCTAGTGGAGGTAGTGAATCATGCCATGTTGATTCATAACTTTTTTCGACCTTAAAAAGTATATCTGTATCACTCCTTTGATCCGTCCATGTGATTACTCTTAACAGATGCTTTGCGAAGAACGGGGTTTCTTTCTGGAGATAGCTGACTTGATCAGGGGAATGGGTTTGACCATTTTAAAGGGGGTAATGGAAGCTCAAAATGACAAGATCTGGGCACGCTTTGCTGTGGAGGTAATACTCTAGTTCAGGGAATGTTCTCTTCCTGTCATGATTGGTTTACTAGTTGTCTAGATTGCAAGTTATATGATGTATATGGCTTGTTGATTTTAGTGCCTGACGGTCTGTTGCTGTAGAGAACAAGTTTTCAATTCATCATTCATCAATAAGTCAATGATAAATGGAAAATTAGATGACATTGAATCCTATATCCCCTTTTTTTTGGGTATCGAATGTCTGTTTCAGATGATTTTGAAGAAACATTTCTTGTCAAACATGGGATCGAGTCATAGGATGTCTGATACTTAGGTATCTTAAATCCTGGATATGCCCCTGTTAGTATGGTGGTCAAGATCCCATTAATTTCTCTTCACCATTTTGAATACAATAAATCTGTGTGCTTTCTTCTTATTCCTCGGTTAATTATGATGTTTTCTGCCTATTCCAAGGCACGTCTGTAATATGTTTATAAATTGAGCTAGTTATACACCAAAAAAAGAAAAAAAAAATGAGCTGGTTACTTACCTACAAGTTGTGCAGGCAAATCGGGATGTGACAAGGATGGAAATATTTATGTCACTGGTTCATCTTCTGGAACAAGCAGCAAAGGGGAATGGTGCTTCTACATCGAACGAAATCAACAACATGATGGTTTATCACTCCTTCCCACAGCCTTCTCAAATACCAGCAACTGGGGGACCTAGTAGTTTGCAATGAAACCACCTGCCATATAGATTCCTTGGCCTGGATGTGTTGGGAGCGAGTCTGGTATTTTACTTGCTGTGACTGACGTCAATTCCGGTCCAAGACTTAACCTTGTCTAACTGTTTTACACCTCACATGACCTCATTTTGTAGGTGGATGTGTTTAGTTAGCGAAGAGCAATGCAAGATTAATATTTAATCTTATATATGTATCCTTAGTGTTTCTTCTGGTGCCTGCCAAGATATCTTATCCTGCTCTGGCAGTCTCCACTGATGCTATATGTTAGTGCAACTCTCAGATTACTTGTATAAGTTTTTCCTTAATCTCTGTGGTTATGGGCTTGTGCTTCAGATGTATAGGTAGTGTAGGATGTGGAATGAAGTGGGTTTGTGCGTTCACGGGATGAGGACTATGCACTTTTTCTCCCCTTTTATCCGTTTGATTTCTGAGGTTTCTTGGGTTGATGATCTCGACTGTGCAGTGTTGTTAATTTCAACAGTAGGTGTGGTTTGTATATCATCAATGGAGTCTGTGCAAGATGCTGCTCATTGTAACCGGAGCTATGCTTTAATCTATCTCTATTTGTGGTGATTGGTTGCTAGACTCTCTCATACAAGCTACTTCCTATATTCCGTGCCTCCCGTAACTCTAAGCGCTCGTTTGTTGTTAGTAGCAGTTTCGTTGTGACTTGCTGAATTGTGATTTTGGGGGTTCATATTTTATTATTTTTCCTTTTAAAAGATGAACTTCAGGCAGCAAAATCAATGAATATTTAACAAGCACAAGTTACATAGTATGATTATTATTCCTTCATATATATTATCTCCGATTTTTAAATATAAGAGTTGATTAATTTGAGTAAATTAATAAGATTTGTTAAGTTAGTTAATTATGATAAATAATTTTTTTAGAATATTTTTACTAATTATATATATTATGTGGAATTATGATTGGGTAAAATTTTTAATATATGCAATTAGAGAAGACAAAATAGATTAAGAGTTTTTATTTAGAATTGAAGTGAATGGCAACTTAATTTTTGTATTAGGGATTAGAAGTACTGCATAGCTATTTTTGGTATGAGACTCCTGGTTTATCCATGATTTTTTTTTTAGGTTTTAATACGAGTGCTTTTATATTTTCAAGCCAATGAGAAATGTGCTTTTATCAAGCTTTAATGGGGTTTTTTTTTTGCGACAAATTTTATATACTTATGGATATACAGAACAACGTGATTAATATATTTTGCATAATAAATAAAATTCAATCTTTACAAGGCAACATAAAAGTGAAAGGGGGTGAGTTCAAATTCATTTGTGTCATTTCACAAGAAAAATGAATTACAACAGGTCCTAAAAGAGTTGAGAATTTCTCCAAAAATAATAACAACTTTTCTTCACTGGGGGTTTATTGATAATTTTCTCAGAAATAATAGGGTAATTGATTCGTAAAGTGATATCCATCCACCGATATTATCCCCTGAACTCGTAAAATTTGAAGTGACAGGATGCCACGTCATTGGAATTATTCAGCTAATGATGCTCCCATGTATATTTAGGAAGTTGCCCAAATGTCAGCCTGTGATCTTCATTTTGACCCATCACTGTGTTTGTAAACAAATATCATGGAATTATTTTGAATCGTGACGCGACATTACACGTTTGACCAGAACTTCTTCCACATTTATAACCTTTCTTGCAAGTCACAACTTGAGATATGATATCTGACTTGGCTCTGCATTCTTGTTTTTAATTCTTTTCTGTTTGGGGGGATATACTGTAGAGTATATGCTAATTAATTAATAATCAATGTAGTGAACTGTTTTTCTTATTGTTAGGTTGCCCAATATGAATGGATTTAAGTTGATGTGGAAAGTCCCATGCCAGATAAAATTTAATAATATACATATAATAAAGTGAAGGCAGGCCTAAACTTGAATTAAGATGTTGTGTCATTGCTCACTTATCATCCATTTGTGTTAATTATGGATGTCTTAATTATGGGAAAAAATTGAATTTACTAAAGATGAGTGAATAATTTATAAAATTTTTCAATTCGTGCAAACATAAAAATTCGGTTGATAAGATTTATCACTGTCACTCATTCCTCAAAACCAAGGCTTTCAAAATAAGTTATCTTTTTAATATCAGCAAGAAAAAAGTTAATATATAAGATTTATCACTTAGGGAATTCAATTTGATTTTACCTATTTGTTTTTTTGTTTTTAAATTCTACTGGACAGTCAGGGACTCATGGTATGAAACATTTGGCGTGGGCAGCAATAAATTAGTGTGATTGTGGTCTTTCTAGAGTTTTGTGGGGTTATTTAATTATTTTATTAAATAGTTGTACCCTTGTTTGGTTGTTTATGCATTGCCTAGTTTTTTCCGTGTAAGCAAAGGTATGTCTGCTTTTTGTGATGCCTTTTGCAACTTGCCTTTCCACAGTACTCATTTAAACAAACCTACAACCCTTGCTGCTCAATCAACACATTTATAAAAGTCGATTTTGTTTGTATTGGGCTATTAGATAAGAAGTAATTTTACAGTGTATAAAATAAATATGTAAGATAAATTTTATCTCTAAATTGCATAAAATCACTTTTTTTTAAGTGTTTTTAAAGATTGTTAGGAGGGTGTTTGGATGAAAATCAAATCATGATTTTAAAAGTGATTTTACGGTATACAAAATAAATATGTAAAGGGTTTACCTCAATTTACTAAAAAGTGTTCTTAGAAAGTACTTTTGGTAATAGCCAAACACCCCCTAACACTTGTCACTAGCATCAATACTAGATAGTAAATATTACCCAGATTTAACTAATATATTTAATGCACATAAATTTGTTAAGTAGATTTTATATTAGTGTAATTTGCTAAGTACAATTATTTTATTAGTTTTCATGCAGTGTAAAATGGTCAAGTTTTTTGAAAATGTGATTGGCCCAAAAATTTAGCTGTGCCGAACTTAAAAAATGGACCATAGTGCTAATCATAAAGGGGTCGTAAGCGAAATGATGGGCCGAAGAAACCAATGGGCTAAAATATTAAATTTGGAAAATACATTTCAATAATACTGTCTAAATTTCTTTGGAAAATTTTGACTTGAGTTGAGCCTGAACTCATGTTTAAAAAAAAAAAATCTATTTAATTAATTCTTTTAAACTAAAGTTACAATAATATATTCCTGGCTCCGGCCAAATAAATGAATATATACTACTTCCGGTCCTATTTATAATAGCTAGTTGACTAATTTGAGAAAATTAAGGAAATAAGTTAAATTACTTATTTGTAATAAATAGATGTTGTCTTTCCTAAAATATCCTTACTAATCAAGTATATTGGCTATAACTATTATTGTTAAAAAGACTATCTTGAAAAAAATGTATAAATATGAGATACATAGTGAATTGGATTTTTATATTTAAGGCCAAAATAAAAATCAAATAAAGTCTTACATTAAGTACCAAAGGTAGTATATATATATTCTTGGCCGGAAAAGAAAAGGCTTACATGATTGTCGAACTACTGCGCTGCTTTCACCCAAACCAGACGCGCCTCCTTCATATGGCGGCGCACACGCAAATGCCAATAAAACATTTCTAAAAGAAAACAATGTAATATCTTTATATCACTGGAGTATGAGAAGAAAAAACAAGTGAGGAGAAAAATATTAAAGATTGCATATTCTAATTTATACTCATTTATAAAAGTAATATAACTTTTATCACTCCAATCTTAATTATAAATGAGTTAGGGTGTTTGGCAATTTGGAGAAAAGTGATTCTGGGCCTCAAACCATGGTTTGAGTCAACTAACATCCAAACACCCACATTTTTCTCAAAACCTTGGTTTGGGTCAAAACCAAGGTTTTGCCTACTAAAACCTTGGTTTGCAAAGAAGCCAGAATTTTTTGCTTTTGAGAGTAAGAAATTAACCGTTGGAGTGGTATTTGACCAAAACACCCACGAGAATTGTCACAAGCTTCGCCTGTTCTCCCATTCCTTCACTGTCCTCCATCGTCCCCAACCTCAATTGCAGCCCCCTTCCTCCATGACTGTCACCATTTTACTGTTTCTCCTCCATCAAGCTTCATTACAGCACACAACACCATCAAATCTGAACCTCGTTTCCTCCATGATTGTCCTGTTCTGCTTCTCCTCCTCCATCAAGCTTTGTTGCAGCACACAAAACATCTAAATTCAAGCCTCGTCTCATCTATAGCCATCACCATTCGAACCTCGTCTCCCACATCGTCGTCGGTTGAATTGGGGTTTTGTGGTGTGCGATTTTCAGATATGAAATTAGATCAGTAATTGCTTCACAGTCGAAGAGAAAGGAGGAGGACACGATGGAAGAGGCATTTGGGTTAGAGAAAATGGCGAAAGGCCAGGCTGAAGAAAAGAGCTTCCCTGGTGTATTGGTTGAAGAGGAATGAGGAGGTCACGATGGAGAAGAGGAAATGGGAATTTTTGATGAGTTTTTTTTTTGTTGGAGAACAAAATAATCATTCTTTTATAAACATATTAAATTTTATATTTTATAAATATATCTATACATATTAATTATTTATTAATTACTTTTTGTCATATATTATTTATTATGTTAGAAAAAAATATATTATTAACAAATTATTATTCAAATTAAAATATATTATAAAATCTATTCTTTATGTAATTATCATATTAACTTATATCCTTTTTGGTAATTTGTACATATAAAAAGTGCTTCTGATAACAATTATCCAAACACTCTCACTTTATCAGAATCACTTTTTCAGAAAATCTATTTTCTCCAAAATTTATTCTCCAGAAGCTATTCTTCAAACCATGGTTTAACCTCATCCAAACACCCCCGTAATAGGGCTGAGCAGCCTATTATGATCAGATTTCGAAGCAGCGATGGCAAAAGCTTATGTGGCTGTTTGGTTGCTGTATTTATACTTCACCTAATTAATGCTGTGCTCAAAGGCTAATAGTCTTTTAAATAGGATTTATAAGACTCTTACTCTTTTGACTTGAGCAATCATGAACATCAACAGTGCAGGGATGAGGAAGAAGATCCAAGAGCCATATGAATGCATAAAGATGAGCAAAGACATTAACAGGGACGTCATGGAAGAAATTAATTACCTGAGGATCAAAAGATGGCTACACTCACGAACTTTTCCAAATAAATTTGTTAAATATTTTCCGGCGATTTAATTAAACCCATCATCAATATTAAATTTAACATTCTCCATCAAATACAATTAATTCGCAACTGGGTTCCAGTCGTTAGTTCACACTAACTCCGAGATTTTGGCTGAGTTTATCGATCAGGTTTACATTCACTATCATTAATTAATTGTAAAGCTCTCTATCTGCATGCTATGTGCGTACTGGCACGTACGCAATTATTTTTGTCTGCAGCATTATACCAGACAACAAATCAAACTTGAACAAGAATTTCAAACATTAATTATATATATTTTTAAAAAAATAAAAATATAGCAACTTACTTCAACAATATATATTTGCGACGCTTTACCTTTATGCATATATATGATTACTTAATTGATTAATTGATTGTTTAATTCATATCTTAAATGTGGGATGATATCATTGGCCGCTACTTCACTAGTAACCTTGCATTTTCATTATGTATATATGTGGTGGAATAATGGACGACATGTGAGTGCAACCCCATATTGATTAAACTTTTGACCTGATAATTAAAGGTGGTTTAGGGGTAATTTATTTATGAGACCCATGTGTTTGGTAATTTATTTGTGTTTTGCAGCATTAATCAGACAACATATCATACTTGAACAACAATTTCAAAAATTAATTATATATACACTATATTCTCAAAAATCAAAATAAAGCAACTTACCGTCAACTATATATATTTGCAAAGCTTTACTTTTATGCGCACGCACACATATATATGGCTTCCGATCCTCTATATAAGAACTGATTTATAATATAATTTACACTTCATACTAATTCTTATATTTAACATTAAAGTGAGGTAGCACACACACACGCATATATATAATTAATTGATATTACCGTGGGATGATATCATCAACCACTACCTCACTAGTAGTAACCTAGCATTTTTCATTGTGTTTTTGTGGTGGAACAATGGACGACATGTGAATGCAATCAGTATTGATTATACATATATAGTCAATCAAAGTATATCTCTGGCCGGGAAAAAAAAAATCAAAAGTATGAAACAGGAAGACAAGTTGACCAAAACCTCAACAGATGCTGTGGTACGGAAAAACTTTCCTATGATCTTGAGTATAAAATTTGGGTATTTACAAAAACTAATTCTATCGAATTTTATTATTTATTATATACTAGATCAAGCGTAACTATATAACCTATAATATAAAAAAATACTTTTATTTTTCTTTGCCCATACAACCATATATGATTTGTTTTGGTCCTAACGTTGGATTATTGTGCGATGTATACACTATATGTTCTTGGAAGTCTTCTAATATAATTTCTTCCTTGGATCGATCTTCATATTATATTTTAGTGGCTACGGCCAAATTATGAAAAAGTATTTATAAAAGAAATGAAATTCATATTCATGCAATATCAAGGAAGCTACGTACGCGCGTGTGTCTGAGATGCGCACTCACTTTGGTTGAGGGAAACAATAAGCGCAATTCACTTATCAGCCGCCAACACAACCCATGTGCCATTCCGATGTGGGATCGATGAAGCACTACTCCATTATAAATAAGCCAACGTGGGAGCCTCTTATGTTACTACCTCACCAAAACCTAGCTAGCTAGTTACTTTGCTTCCTCCATTACCATATTACACCAACTTGATCGATCGACTACGAAGACGACGTCGGGCAATGGCCTCTCCAGTTGCAGAAAATGCCACTCACTACAGTGCTTCTCGTGGAATAATGCAACGGCTTAGGTCTTTGCCTGGTAAATTGTTGGACACTCTTGCGATATTTGGAAAGAAATTAGCGAAAATAGCAAAAGATGATCCTCGAAGAGTCACTCATTCTCTGAAAGTAGGGTTGGCACTCACCGTCGTTTCTTTGTTCTTCTTTCTCCGGCGTCTTTACGATAGTTTCGGCGACAACGCAATATGGGCCGTCATGACTGTCGTCGTCGTCATGGAATTTTCTGTGGGTAAGTTCTTTTTTAACCTACAACGTAACTGTTTCATGCCCATTTCACCACTTGATTTTAATAGTAATAACCAATGTTTAAAGCCAAATCAAGACCTGCTTAATGAAAAAATATTCTATTACTAATGATGACGCAGGAGCGACTCTGGGGAAAGGTCTGAATAGAATGTTGGCGACGTTGCTAGGAGGTTTTCTCGGCGCTGCAGTTCAAAAATTATCAACTTTGTCAGGGGAGAAGGAGAAGCCTGTCTTAATTTCACTCTTCCTCTACATCATAGGTATATGTAGCAGTATTTATATTATAAGAATAAGAAACAATGACATTAATCAATATTTATTTATGTATTTATTTTTGGGTTGTTGTAGGTGCGCTTATAACGTTCATGAGATTTGTTCCACAAGTAAAGGCAAGATATGATTATGGGTTAACAATATTCATATTAACCTTCAGCCTTGTATCAGTATCTGGATATCGAGATGATCAGATCCTAGATCTTGCTTTCAAGAGGCTTTCAACAATCATCATTGGCAGCTTTATAGCTATCATCATCTGTGTTTTCTTGTTCCCTGTTTGGAGCGGAGACGATCTTCACAATCTGCTCGCTTCTAACTTGGAAAAGCTTGGCAATTTCTTGGAAGGGTTTGGAACTGACTTGCAACCCAAGCATAGTGAGAGATCATTTGCCAAAGAATATGAAAGTGTTCTCACCTCCAAGACAAGAGAAGAAACACTGGTAAATATTCCTCACTAAAGAGGAGTTCTTTAATAGAGGAAAAGCTCATTTTTGAAACATAGCTATAACTAGCACTTATTACTCTTCCGGAAAAAGAAAACATACATATAATATAAATATACTAATTTGGTTCACTCAATCTCGCTCTTTTTCTAGGCCAACTTTGCAAGATGGGAGCCTTGTCATGGCCAAATAAGATTCCGTCATCCATGGCAGAGATATCTGGAACTTGGGAACTTAACACGACAATGCGCATATAAAGCTGAAGCTCTAGATGTTTATCTCAGGTCTTTGATCCTGGTAAGTATATATATATATATATATATATATAGCAAATTGTTATTTAATCGAGATTTTAATTAATATCAACCTAGTGATATCCATGATGCAGACAAGTAATCAAGTTGGAATCAGCATAAAGGATTCGTGCCAATCTGCAAGCTTAGAATGTGGAAAAGCATTGAAGGTATTATCTTCGTCAGTTAAATCAATGACTTGTTTAACATCAACAACAGCGAAGGCTCGTGTTGCAAAAGCTAAACGCTCCATCGAATTGATTCATTCTCTTTTAAGATCAGAACCATATTGGGAAGGCGTTGAGCTCACGGAGATAGTTGCAGCTGCTGCAGTTACTTCACTACTCAGTGATGTGATAATATGCATTGAGAGTATCATTGAAGCTGTTGATGAACTTTCCTCCTTAGCTCATTTCAAAAGGACTGTGCATTCTCCACCCGTAACGGCGACTAATTCTAAACTTCAACCTCTGGCTCGTGAGGGGATTTTGAAGCCTGTTTTGGAATCTCACGAACTACGTTATTGCGCAGTCACAATTAATGATGGTTATTCTTCAACTTTAACGAAAGAAATAGCCAAAGTTCTGCATCCATAGAAGCCACTATGAGGCAATGAATGGAAATAATGGGCAACATATATATAAATAATGTGTTTTTATTTTTCACGTGTATAATACACTGATTATTTCATTATAGTTTTATTTTAGACTAATTTCCGTGAAGATGTAATACTCCTCCGGTCCTAATTATAAGACCCAATTGACTTATTTGAGGAGATTAAGGAAGTAAGTTAAGTTGGTTATTTATAATAAATAAGTGTTGTCATTCCTAAAATATCCTTGCTAATTAAGTATATTGGCTAAAACTATCATTATTAGAAGGATTATCTTGGAAAAAAATACATAAATATAAGAGACAAAATGGATTGGGGTCTTATAATTAGGACCAAATAAAAAGTCAAATGAGGTCTTATAATAAGGACTGGAGGAGTATTTTGGATTTTGGTCTCTCGAGTTTGTGACACATACCCCCTGCTCGGAGCCTCTTCTTTTTCTTATCCTATTCCCTTCTTTTCTTTTTCTAATAATTGAATTAATATATTTCGATAGTTTAGATTTTAATTTTTGTATAAACTATTTGTTAAAAAATTTGAAAATATTTAGTGCATTTGCAAACCACTAAAATTAAATCTTAATATAGTTTATAATTATTATTTACTTATTTTATAATTTAATATTTTAATAATAATTTTAAAAGGATTTCAATATCAACCGTTGAAATATTAATTTAAGGGTTAGAAAAAAGAAGAAAAGAGGAGAGCTTTCAAACTGCCTCGATCAACCGATGCCTTCGCGTGAGTTTATTCCCCGCACCCCCACCCCAAAAAAAAAAAAAAAAACCGAATTTTCATCTAAGAACTAAGGAATAGCCCTCATTTACAAGCTGCAGAGTAGATTGAATAAAATTTAGGTATATATATCATAATTAATTATTAGATTCTTTCTATCCACACAGATTAGCAGCAAATTATTCACTAAAATGTTCTAAAATTTTTTTAGAATTAATAACAGACGTTTAATCATTGCACAAAAATTTGGTCCGTGTAGTCCTCGAGATGTTTGAATTAGTGCTCTAGAAAAAGTATGGAACATTTGATTAGGAATGGTTATCAATTATTATACAAGGCAGTCATCGATCATCATGAACGCCCCTTAGAATAAAGTGATAAGGCACGCTACACAACGCACCCATTCCATGGACAACCAGCTACAGCTTAGTGAACTTTTTGTGAGTTTGCTTTATTTATATGATAGATTTTTCTCTTGAAACTTTGGTAGCGTGTATATAAAAATATAGTTTATGTGCCTTTGAGGGTTTTCAAACACCCTCCCTGGCATCGTTTGTAAATTTTATAGGCATAACCGCATAATCCTACCCCCCATGAATGCTTAAGTAATCTGCCAAGTGATGTAACATTATAAAATGCGTAACAACTTTGATACTTCATCCTATTTACTATATGTATCAAATGGACTCTCATAATTAATGGATGATGAAAAGTTTGCTAGTGTTATGAAAGGAAGGAGTTAATTAATAATATGTTTTTTAGGTATTAAAACTAATGTGGATTTATTGTGCAGGAAGTCTGAGAAATTTAAGGGATGCTTTTTTTACCGTCGAATAATATGGACTTTTATATGAATATACTACCTCCGGTTCTTAATATAAGAGCTCGTTTGATTTTTATTTTGGTTCTAAATATAATACCTTAATATACTTTGTTTATCATATTTATCCACTTTTTTTTGAGATAGTCATTATAGTAATAATAGTTCTAACTAATATTCTTGATTAGTAAGGGTATTTTAGGATAAACAATACATATTTATTACAAATAACTAATTTAACAAATTTTTTTAATTTACTCAAATTAGTCAACTAGCTCTTATATTAAGAATCGGAGGTAGTATTATATAACGCTTGCACTGTTTAGATCCAAAGTTTGCCGCCATGTATACACAAGTGCTTTTAGACATAGAAAGAAAGCATTGTGCCTAAAGTTCGTGATCTATGAATTACATTCCTAATAATTACTTAATTAATTTAAAAATCATAAATGGGCGGTTGATGTTCAAGGGAAAACAAGGCAATCGACAAATCAGAGTATAATACAAGGCGAAATTCGTCTTCCACTAGCCAAATGGCCACCTTATAGGCTTATAGTCATACACTGTGGGCATTCATTAAGCAAAGTAGCATTTTAGGAGAAGCTAGTGGCGCATTTGCCACTTGCTACAAATCATCGTCTGGAAACATCTCAATGCTGCCTTTTGAATTTTCTCCCAAAGGTATACAGGGCCTCAGTATTGCGTGTAACAAAAAATCTTAATTAAAAGATTGTTTTTATTCTACATGTTTTGCTTTTTTAAAATTAAAAAGGAAAAAAAAATAAAAAAAAATAACATAAAATTGACTACTATCCACAGAAGGATTTAGATCCATAAGTTCCCGGATAGTTTTGTAGATTTTGTATCAATATAATGCAGCCAGGTAGGCTAAGGATTGATGATAAACCCAAATCGAACTCTTTCACTAAGAACAACGAGCGCCTATCAAGGGACTAACATATAGTATCTTATCAAAAAAAGGACCAATACACAAAACTGCTTATCGACAAAGCATCATCATTAAGAATGAATGTTGGTTGTTCATTTCTATATGTGTAGAAGGTTCCCTCAGATAATTAAGATATATTAATGTTGTTATGTGACAGATATTTTTTTTTATATTTCTGAAAAAAGGCACTTAGGGGACACACAAGGGCATGCGCCGGCCGACCTAACATCGATATCCATCTTGCACTGTATGTGGTAGTGGGGGTAGCTGGCCACCGCTTTTAACTTCTTTTCGATTGCTATAATATTGCTGTCTCTCAGTGGAAAAGCCTAGAAACTGGAAAGTCATTAGATATGAGACCCTAATGAAAAGTCTGGTAGAACTAAATTGGTGGCTCTCGCATGTAATTCATATAAGCGAATAACAATATCATAAAAACATGTTAGGTTCCGTGCAAGTACTTGAAAGTACTGGAAGTCAAAAAATATGAAGTCAATGTTGTAATAATGCCAAAAGCCAAATTTGATCACAGCCATCTGTTTATAACATTCACCATCATTACTTGTGGTGTGCTGCGCGCTAGCTCTGCGCGCATTATAAGGCCTAGGGGAAGAGACACTTAAAGATCCTTTTTGAGTTTCATCTGTAATTATGCCATTAATTTTATGCTCGGAGCTTTAGTCGTGTCATGGATTTTTATACGATTATGCTCAGAGCTTTACTCATGTCAATGTTTTTTATCCGGAAAAATGACCCAAGAAAATAAAAAAAATTGTGATATGTTAATTCAGACGTATAATCTGAGAAGAGGAAATGATGTCTAATATGACATTTTATAAATGTAGTTAAATGCTAAAATATCTTCGTATCAGCTTTGTCTTAAAAAAAAAATCAAACTTGTCATTTTTAGTATATTTCTTATCATTGGCATTGTCAGTTTACAACTTATTAATAAATAACTTGTTATTATTAATATATTTTTTGTCATTTGTTATTCTATACTTCTGTTATTGCTAATTCATACAACTTGTTAATAAACTTTTTGATACAAAGATATTTTTGTTATTTAACCATATTTACAAAATATTAGATCAAGTATCACTTCCTCTCTTGGGATTTTGAAGTCTTATATGTTTGAATTAGAATATTACAATTTTCAGTTTTTTTTATGTCACTTTCCCTTTTAATCCTCATATTAGATGCCAAAAAAAAAACATAAGAATTATTAAGTACTACCTTCGATCCTATTTATAAGACTTCATCTATAGATTGTAAACAAAGTTTTATAATTAAGACCAGAGGTAGTATTTCGTAGTATTCCCTCTAGGTGGTTGTTAAATGGTTTATAAATAGCACAAAAATCAATTTAATCCTATTAAAAGTTACTGCTATTTTTTGGTGAGACTCAGAGCCACCCTATTTAGAGGATGTCTGGTATTAGATAAAAGCGCTTCTAAAAAATAATTTTTACAAATCAAAACAAAATCTGCTACATATTTATTTCGTATATCGTAAAATTACTCTTATAATCATGATTTGATTTTTACCCAAATATTCTACCCAATCAGTAAACAGGCTGATAGTTTAATGAAACGTATATGTGTGTAAGTGCGTGAAAGATAAAGTGGGTAGTTGAGTTGTTATTGTTTTTGAGTGAAGGCACTTGAGTTGTTATCAATAACTTGGATGTCTTAAGACTGTGAAGGATACATAGTGATTGGGAAGCCTTTGACTTTTATTTACGCATACTAATTCAGTGCGTTGATGTGGGACGATAATACCATCCATTCAATCCTCATTAGCAACTCCCAACACATGAAATGACAATAAATAATAAAAGGCGCGGAATTCATTCAATTGTCAAAGGCGCGGAATTCATTCAATTGTAGATTTGTCGGCAATTTGTGTACGTAAATTTGCTTCTTTATTCCGCGCTTTACTTGTCTTTTACATTAACTTTAATTTCTTTCACTTTTTTCATTAATATTGAAAAAACAAGTTCTTAGTGTTTAAACCCTTATCATCAACACAATTAAATATGTTCACACACATGATTTTTTTAATAACTAAGAGTATCATCAAGTCATTTTAAATTATATTTGAGATTTATTTTTATCACGTCTTGAGCGTTAATTAAGATTAAAACCCTCTTAACAAATATACTTTTAGGAATTCAAATTTAAAACTGCTTACCATTTTAACCAATAACTTATTGGTATATACGTATTATAAATTTAAAAAGGAAGAATTCTATATATAACTTGCATTAAAAAATAAATCCTGTCCCTTTTATGTTCTATACTCCTTCATATACATGCATCTGTGTGTGTGTGTGTGTGTGTGTTCTATTATGTGCATGATACGCACAAACGCAAATACAATCTCCAAATTTATAAATAAGTTTTGAGGTAGTATAATTTAATAAATCATGTCGAGACTCCATTGGATTCGCGTACGTTTGCCTTTTATTATTTTGATCAGGATGTCATAAATTGAGTTTTTATAAGGCTATATTGTGTATATATATTTGTTGTACCGCATTCTTAAAAATTTTATTGATTTTTTATCTGAACAATTTAATAGAAAGAAATTAGTTATTCAATCATCTTAATTTAAATGAACATGAAGAGGAAAGTGCATAATTACAACATACCGATCTGAATTATAATTAGTGCTTCTCAAGCAAGTTAGTTACGTATTTATTGCTTTTGTATGGCGGAAGGAATCATTTCCCGATCTTTCTTGATGTTACAACTTACGAGCAATTCTGCTCTTCCAGGGGCCCCCAGCAAACTCGCTTTTAAATCCGAAGGCACGTCCACGAGCATCATAATCACATATAAACAGTTACCAAAAAATGAAAAAAGAGCATGATTCTCATACACATATAGTTACATACATATTACTTCCAATTCTAATTATAAAAACTAGTTAACTAATTTGAAAAGATTAAGAAAAGAAATTAAGTTAGTTATTGTAACAAATATGTATTGTCTTTCTTAAAATATCCTTACTAGTCAAGTGTATTGGCTAGAACTATCATTGTTAGAAGGATTACTTTGAAAAAATACATAAATATGAGAGATAAAATGAATTGGGATCTTATATTCAGGACCAAAATAAAAATCAAATAATGTATTATATTAATAACCGGAGGTAGTATATAAAAAGGAAAATTTCATAAAAAAGTCTTAAACTAGATCTGATAATAACATTTTAATAGGTTTGGACAACACTAAACTTATAAATAAAAACATATTTTTGTAAAAAAATTTTATTTAAGATTTAGTAATCCTAAACTTTTTTTGGTGAAATCCTTTCAGTTTACATAAAATCAGGCATGAGGCAACGTAACGCAATGTCGGCGCATATCATGTGGGGGGGAGGGGGGGGGGGGGACTCCGTACTGCATATATGAAATACACAATCACTTAACGGATACAATGATCTCAATAGGCAGGGCAGGATAATGAATCGGTTGCATTTTGTTTATCATTAAGTAACCCATTGCGTGGGTGTATATATTATTTTATATCCTTTTATTAATAAAATTTTAAATGCATACGAAATTTTTTTTAAAAAATGGAACAGGTGTATTTCATTTCATGTGGGGTCTGAATTGGTCTCTCTCTTCTGAGTGAGTGTGACGTGACAAGGGAAAATCAAAATAAATTTCCAGCATAAACTTAACGGGGCTCATGAGCATCGTCGCTTAGCCCAGCACAGAAAGCCCAATTATGTTTGGACCCAATCTTTCATGTCCAAAGCCCATTTAAGTGTTTGTCCGCGATGAGCGCGGGCACCGCATAATGCTTAACTGCTCAATGCCCATTAACTTGGGCGTAAATTTATTTATTTAATTTAAAAATAATGATTACTCCATGTGACAATAATGCCATTATAGGGCTCGTTTGGATTTCCGTCTAGAATGCCAAAAACACATGAGAAAGCATGAAACTGTGGTTTGTGACTTATTGCAGCTCAAAAGACTGTTTGAATTGAGCTTCGTTTCTAACTGACTTATGAAAAAAAGTAACTTTTCTAACTGACTTATCCAACGCAATCTGGATCAACTTTTCCAACTGACTTATGGAAAAATTGTACAAAGCTTACGATCTAATTAGTTATGTGATTCTATTTATTTTAATTAGAGACCAAATAAATTTTAATTTATATTCATGTTTGTTCATTATGTATATTTAATTAATTATCTACAATATATTTTCAAATTTTTCTTCTTAACAAATATTTTTATTTTATAATTTTACAAATAAACTATTTATATTTTATCATAATAATTTTACGTGTTTCTTTAAATTATTATCACATTAAAAATATACAATTTCAAACACTACTCCATATCCTTTTCAGTCATTTTACAGCTAAACTAACTTTTCTATTAATCATCCAAACAACTTTTAATTTTTTCAACTGACTTTTTAAAAGTATCTATCCAAACATAAATTACATTATACTAACTGACTTTTACTCTAACTTCAATTACAAAAGTCAGTTGAATTAGAAGTCAGTTTTACCCAATACCAATCCAAACATATCTATAGTAGTATTTGTTGACGGGTTTGAAGCAGTTCCGCATCCCTTCTTCACATGGCTCGTCCTTTTATGCTGTCCGTACAGATGTGGTTAGTTCGGCTTTTAAGAGGCTCCTCTGATTCCTGTGTTTCTCTTCTTTCGCTGTCCGTCCCCGCTGCCTCTTTCTGCTGCCCACCTCATTTTACTCTCAATAAAATAAATAGCTAAAAATCGGCAGCAACATAACAAGTCTAATATACATGTAATTGACCTCATAGGACAAGGCTTGTCCCTAATTTCGATGGCAGTATTTTTTTTGTAACCATTGTTTTTCGTTGGTTAATGAATGAGGTAGTTACCCACGGTGGCATGGATGTTTATTTTTAGTTTAGTGATATAAAAACTTTTCTATAATAATTGTATAGCCTAATGACGTGAAATTTTTGCATGTGAATAAAAAATTGTAGATACGATGCCCACTTATAATCTTAAATGGTTAGTCTCGGCTTTTCGGATTTTAAAAAAAAAAAAATTGGATGACGTGGTTGAGAAGTCGGGAAGAGTACGTGGAAGGTGATATATGGAGTAGTGCCTCGTCACCGACTTATGTGCTCCACTTTCCCCTGGGCGTGGGCCCCTTTTTTGTGGATGTACTCTTAATTGTATTTCTGTTTCTAACGGAAAGTGAACCCAACGAAATTTAGGCAAAGCAAAGTGGCGTGGTGGCGGTACCGCTATCTTTATCTCTTACAGAACCAATAAGCTGCCAAAATAGAAGATACCTCCCCCGCTTCTTTCTGTTTTATTATCGCATTGATGGGCTCCAAATTCTAACACCTCCGCCACGCGCTTTGTTCTCATTTGAGACTTCACTTCTCGAAATTTTTGTTCCCATATAAATGCGATCCAGTTTTCCTATCTATAACGATGTTTTTATCTAAAACAACAATTTATATTTATATTCACATGCTCTCTTTTCTGTCACGCGCATGATCCGCTTGTTTTGTTAAATACAAACTTTTAATTTAATCGTAAATATAAGATCTTAATTTATTTTATTTTTTATATTTGTCTCTTTTTTCAAATAGTCTTTGTAGTTTGTACATGTTAAAGATTTTATCAAATGATCGTTCTAACTAGTACACATAATTAACAAGGATATTGCAGGAAAGACAACACATATTTATTACAAATATATAACTAACTTAACTAATTTTTTAAATTTTTTTAAATTAGTCAATTAGATCTTATATTAAGGATTGAAGGTAATATGTTTTATGGTATAATGTTAACAAAATTCATAAATGATAGTCGTAATTTATTATTTTCTTAGAAGATATATGTATATATATGGGGTTTATTAAATTAACATGGAAAAATATGAAGGCTGGATTTACTTTCAGACCTTAAAAAGAAATACGTGAACTTTAATTATGGCTTGCTCAACCTTCAAATCTAAGTAAAGATTGCCCCCTTGTATTACAATAAGATGATCGTGTTCTTTTTTTCTTTTTTTTGCCCTTGGGTTGGGGGGAGGTCATGGAGTAAAACAAGTATCATGCTTTTTATTATAAAAGTAATGATACCCATAGAAAAAAAATATTAATTATTATAATTTTAAAGGCAATAAAGCATTCAACTTGACTTGCTTTCGGAGACCCACTACAGGAAATGTGCTCTTCACGCTATTTGACCCTGTCGATTTCATACATCGGAAAATGGCGGGAATTAGTGGGATCATTTAATCGGTTTTTTTTTTTTTTTGTTGGGGTAAGAAACCGACATCCATCTCATGTTTATTTCCCCGATAAGCTAAACCCGCCACCAAAGCTTTTCACGCTAGCCTCATGTAATCTTCAGTGGACCCCACCGCTGCCTCATATCAAGCCTCTAATCTCATTTACTTTGTGTCCGTGTTAAATTATGTATTCTATGGACATTTCCCCCAAATCAAAATCAACAATTTTAATATAAAATGCATACAAGAAAAAGTTACTGCAATGCATTGATTGAATGCCGCCTGAGGGGAAAAAAATTGAGGTCGAGAGCAAGCCGGTGGGCCCACTTCAATTCTTTTATGGAATATGGTAACTCCACTTGTATTTCTTAAAAAGAAAACAAGACCATAAAAAATGAGTACGAGTCTATGACGACGAAACAAAAGCAGAATGAACAGCGAGGGAAGGTTGCAGAAATGAACAAGTGAGAGACAGCAATGGACTCACTGACACTCTCTTTAGGGTTTGCCGCTTCGATTAAAAAACTTGCAAAGTGAAAGCTGAGAGTATAATCTTGTTTCTCTGTCCTCATCTTAACTTTGGAACTTCTGTTGTCCTCAGAATTCTTCTTCATCTCGGTGAAACTTAATTTCTGCATGCTGGCATCTTGGTAAGAGTACAACACGCACACCCATACACCAATGTTCTGTTTCTGGCTTTCCGCTTCTTTCCTTTATCTGGGTTTGATCATTGGTATCCCATGACTACTGTAGAGATAATATATTGATCAATCTGTAATTGGGCTGTGAACTTGCGGGAAAGTTCCTACCTTGGTAATTTGGTTTGTACTTTTCCCTTTTATTGGGAATAGCCATGGGAGTTATCCGTGCGAATTTCTGCATTTTTCTTATTTTTGGCCTGATTGTGGCGGTATACGGTGCCACAGATCCAAATGACCTCAAAATTCTGAATGATTTCAAAAAAGGTTTGGAGAATCCAGAGCTTCTTAAATGGCCGAACAACGGGGATGACCCTTGTGGTCCTCCTTCATGGCCTTACGTGTTCTGTGCTGGTAACAGAGTCGCACAGATTCAGGCCAAATCTCTGGGTCTTAAAGGAACGCTACCTCCATCTTTTAATCAGCTCTCGGAACTTTTCAACTTGGGTCTCCAACACAACAAGCTTAGCGGGATGCTGCCTACTTTTAGTGGATTATCTAAATTGGAATTCGCTTTCTTAAATGACAATCAATTTGATGGAATCCCATCTGATTTTTTTGATGGTCTCAGCAGTATTCGTGATTTAGCTTTGGCAGAAAATCCATTGAATGCGAGCACAGGGTGGTCTCTTCCTGCGAGTTTAGAAAAGTCAACACAATTAACGAATCTTTCTCTTGTGCATTGCAATTTAGTTGGACCAGTACCTGATTTTTTGGGCACATTGCCGTCTCTCTCAAATTTGTTACTTTCATACAACCGATTGTCTGGTAGCATTCCGAACAGTTTTGGTCAGTCTTCTATGCAAGTTTTGTGGTTGAATAACCAAGATGGTGGTGGGATGACTGGTCCAATTGATGTTATTGCTTCAATGACTTCTCTAACGCAGCTTTGGCTTCACGGAAATCAGTTCTCTGGGACAATTCCCAAGAGTATCGGAAATCTGACTTCCTTGACGGATCTCAACCTCAATGGTAATCAACTTGTTGGCTTGATTCCTGAAGGTCTGGCCAATATGGAACTTCAGAATTTGGTGTTAAACAATAACAGGCTCATGGGTCCTATACCAAAGTTTAAGGCTAGAAATGTTTCTTATGATTTCAATTTCTTTTGTCAACAGAAGCCTGGCGTTGAATGTGCCCCCGAGGTTACTGCTCTACTTGATTTTCTCGGTAATCTAAATTACCCTTCAACGCTCGCTTCTCAATGGTCTGGTAATGAACCGTGTACTGGGCCATGGCTGGGATTGAGCTGCAATCCCAAGTCAGAGGTATCGATTATTAACTTTCCCCACCGCAGGCTCAATGGTACCCTGAGCCCCTCCCTTGCTAAGTTACCTTCACTCCATGAGATCAGGCTTGGAGGGAATAATTTAACTGGCCAAGTTCCTAGCAGTTTCACTGAACTGAAATCTTTGCAGCTCTTGGATTTAAGTGATAATAATCTTGAGCCCCCAGTGCCAAATTTTCATGGTGTGAAGCTTGTTCTTGATGGCAATCCTCTTTTTGCCAACCAAACAGGAAAAAGTCCCCATCCTATCAGCAGCCCACTACCACCAAGTTCACAATCTTCACCTCACAACCCATCTCCATCCTCTGAACGCCATCCTTCCTCGAGTCAGAGTTCAAGCTCAAATCCATCAAGGTCAGGACAAGTACAATCACAGCAAGACAAATCTAGAAGATTCAGAACACTAGCAATAGTGGCTGGAGCTGCAATTTTTGCCATTGCAGCTATTCTGGTTATTTTCCTATCCATATATTGCTCAAAGAAGAAGAAGAAGAAAACCTTATTGGATGATTCTAGTTCCATTGTGGTTCATCCTCGAGACCCGTCCAACCCAGATGTGGTTAAAATTGCAGTAGCCGACAACGCTGCTGGAAGCTTATCATCAAAGGCCGGGACAAGTTCTTTGAGAAACATTAGTGGTGAATCTGAAACCTCGCATGTGATTGATGCTGGTAATCTTGTGATCTCTGTTCAAATTTTACGCAAGGTTACCAAAAACTTTTCTCCAGAAAATGAGCTAGGCCATGGTGGGTTTGGGACTGTCTATAAAGGTGAACTGGAAGATGGGACGAAAATAGCAGTGAAGAGAATGGAGAGTGGAGCTATGAGCAGGAAAGCACTGCATGAGTTTCAGGCTGAAATAGCTGTTCTTTCTAAGGTTCGTCACCGACATTTAGTATCTTTGTTGGGATACTCCACTGAAGGCGATGAAAGACTTTTGGTCTATGAATATATGCCTCTGGGTGCTCTAAGCAAGCATCTATTTCAGTGGAAAAGCCTGAAATTGGAGCCTTTGACTTGGTCGCAAAGGCTTGTGATAGCACTAGATGTTGCAAGAGGAATGGAATACCTCCATAGTCTTGCCCGCCAGACCTTCATCCACCGAGACCTCAAGCCTTCTAATATTCTTCTTGATGAAGATTTACGGGCAAAAGTTTCAGATTTTGGCTTAGTGAAACTTGCCCCAGATGGTGAGAAGTCTGTGGTAACTACTCTTGCTGGGACGTTTGGATATCTTGCCCCTGAATATGCAGGTATGGCTACTTTGAACTCGTTTCAACAGAGCCCAAGTTAACTGCCTTTTTTTTTGGGGTTAAGAAAAGGGGCTTAAAGCCCAAAGCAAACAAAAATTACAGCAAAAGACAAAGAAAACTATCTACCCCTCTTATAAACCATTCCTGTACGATCCGCAATATGCAACCAGCGAACCTTTTCTTGAACTTGAGGCCATATCCGAATCTCATCATCAAGAGACATGCCCAAATTAGCTGGGGCATCAGCACATTTATTGCACTCACGTGGGACATGAACCACCCTCACTTGCCAATCCTTTCTGCACCAGTTTCATATTCTCAGCAGCAAGCCAGCAACCGACTCTCCATTCCTCTCTCGCCTTCCAGTTAACTGCCTATTTTACTAGATGATATTCCGTTGTTTTCATCAGAGCACAATTCTGTCTAAACATTTTTCAAAAACATGGTATTACGTCCTGTTCTTAATATAAGAATTAGTTAGGGGTTGGATTTGGTTCTAAATATAAAATCTTGATCCACTTTGTTTCTTATTTTTCTCAAAATATCCTTACCGATTTTGTAAGAGATGTCTACCAAGAAATAATTCTAGTCATCCAATACACATGATTGAATAGGATAGTTAGGGAGACCAATATATATACATTTGTGACAAATAATCAATTTAACTAATTTCATTAATATCTTCAAATTAATTATGTAACTTTTATATTAAGAACCAAAGGTAGGATTTTATTAATAGCATCTTGACACTTCACATGTGGTAAAGTATATTTAATTTGCTTTCGAATTTTTCATATTGAAATTTGACAGATTAGGTAGAAAATAAAGAAAATTCTTACTAATTGGATCATCCTATATTTTATTTCTCAGTGTTATGTTAGCACAAGTTTTTCAACGAATTCTGGACGACAGAAATTTGTATGCTATATGATTCGTATATCCCTGGGGTTAAAATTAGACATCAAGGCTTCCTACCTATTAGATTTAGATATGGCAATATCTCTACACTTCAAATCATTCTGTATTTGCAGTTTAATGCATTTGTACTAACTAAACGTTTCTCTGAGCTGCAGTGATGGGGAAAATCACCACAAAGGTTGATGTGTTCAGCTACGGTGTGGTGTTGATGGAACTTCTGACTGGACTGATGGCTCTTGATGAGAGCCGGCCCGAGGAGAGCCGATACCTAGCTCAGTGGTTTTGGCAGATTAAATCAAACAAAGAAAAGCTCATGGCTGCCATTGATCCTGCTCTTCAGGCAACTGAGGAGACTTGGGAAAGCATCTCCATTATAGCTGAACTTGCTGGACATTGCACTGCTAGGGAACCAAACCACCGACCAGACATGAGTCATGCAGTCAATGTATTGGCTGCATTAGTAGAGAAATGGGTACCAATTGACGATGAATTAGATTGTTTTACCGGCATTGACTTTGGACGACCACTTCCCCAGATGCTGAAGGATTGGAAGGAAGCAGGAAGCAGAGATATTAGCTATGCTAGCCTTGAAGACAGCAAAGGAAGCATACCTGCAAAGCCTGTTGGGTTTGCAGACTCCTTTTCTTCTGCTGATGCTCGGTAACTGGAGTTAACTCCATCGCAACTTGCGGGCATGGTTGCTTTCACCTCAAGTAATCAAATTCGTGTATGTCTGTTCCGGCTGCTATCAGGTGTCGTTTGATTTTCTCATTTTTCTGTTGTTTTTGAGACCTCTGCATGCTAATAAATCAGGTTTTCAAGCTAATCATAGCTTGTATATGTATGTATGGAGTGTAAACCAACACAAGCCCCCCCCCCCCCAAAAAAAAAAAAGAACCGTTTGTTTGAAGATACCAGATCATTGAATTCTGGGATCCAAGTTATAGGGAGGTGATTATTTGTTTTTAAACGTGGATTGAAAACCACTGATGCAAGGGCAAAAAAAATTTTCTTGCGCAAGGTAGTGTGGTACTTTTGCCAGATTTATTTTCCACCAGCATGGATGAATGACATCTGCAGAGATTTCCCAGTTATATCCCTATATGGTAGAGAGGATATGAAATAATTGAGAATACACACACACACACACTCTCTCTCTCTCTCTCTCTCTATATATATATATATATATATAACTGAATTATTGAATGAAATAATTTAACGTTACTGCCTTGAATTACTGCGATGTAGGGAAGACGGGGATTTGAAATTAGAGCAATTCAGAGGCCTGAATGGTGGGAAACAAGGAAACAGGCCACCAGTCATATCAAAACAAACACATGTTTTAGTACATAATCCTATATAGTATCTGTTTGGAAGAACAATTTTTTTTTTTGGGGTACACAAGGGGAGGCTAGCGCCTAAATTACAATATCAGAGTCAAAACGCTGTTTTTCCTTCATCAGATTCCTTTGCAGGTGCGCCGGACAAGAGTCAAAATTTTTCGAACCTTGAAATCCCATTTTGGCGAGTTCACCACCCAACTCATTACTAGCTCTTGGAGCATACTGAATAATTACTTCCCACTGGAATTTAATCATCAGACAGATCCTTCGAAAGACCATGGAGCAGCAGTCATTCTGCCTATTTAACTGAAGTCTATCCGCCAACGCCAAGGCATCAGATAAAAATAAGCTTTCTATAGCTTACCAAAAATATATTTGAAGCCCGTTGGAAAAAGTGGAGTCTGTTTGGGAGAGTTTCTAGGCCATCGCATCTGGGGGCAAAAAATGGATGGAAACGTGTGATTAATGTTAAACTGAAGTACCAATGGTGCTTATAATTATACTTGTCAGGTTATTCTTTCACTATTTTTTTTTTTCACTTTTCTCATTATTCTATCATAATTTAAACAACTTTCTACTCAATCTAAGTTTTACAAAACAACTTCTATAAAATTCAATCCAAACACAATTTACATAATCCAATTTAACTTTTATCTAATCTAACTTTTCTTTCAAAAGTCAAATTATAAATAAGTTACTTTTTCTACTACTAATTCAAATGGACTAATAATGTGGGGTATAAACATTAAAATTCATTTTTTTCAAGAAGCGTTAATTATCATATGTTGGACATTTGTCCATTTCTAAAGACATTATAAGTCTGATGTTTATAGATGATTTACGCTTCCATGCGGTGGGGACAGAGATTGATAGGTTCAAATTTATGAGCGTTTGCCAGTGGGCGGGCAAGTGTTTGGTGGAATAATAACAGCACACGGTCATATAGTGAAGCATAGCATAATATCGTTGAGGTTTTTTCGAAAAGACAATACAATAATATAGAGATAATGGGAAAGATTCTTGGAAAAATAACAAATAAAGACTCTTGAATTATCAAAATTACACAGAAGTCACCTGAACTCATTAAATTACGATGAAAGACTTAGTCTCATGTTGCAAATATAAAATCTTGGTGAAATGTTTAAAATGCATCTCGCCAAGTTGTGATTTGATCTACTGAAATTGTCATTCGTTAAAGTAAACTTGTTATTTTTCATAATTAACTTGTCATTTAGCATATGTTCAACCAAGTTATGATTTGATCTACTCAAGTTGTCATTCACTAAAGTGAATTAATTTGTCATTTGGTTGAAGGGCATTTTAGATATTTCATAAAGATTTTATATTTGCAATATGAAATTGGGTTCCTCATGATAATTTTACTTATTCAGGTAACTTCTTAGTGATTTTAGTAATTTAGAGGTCTTATTTGTGATTTTCCCAAGATTCTTTCCCCTTTCAGAAACAGATCCCCTAAATTCAGGAGGTATGCTTGTGGGGGAGAAGTTTGGACTGAATCAAACGCTGTTTATTTTCTCCGGTGGAAAAGAGAAAGAAAGCTTTCGTATAATAATTTCCGCGTTGTAAATAAATGAAAAATTAAGGAAAAAAATCAACAATTATAGAATTATAGTTTATAAAATTGGTAATTAAAAACTTAAGATTTAAAAAGTTAAAAATTAAATACTTATGCATTATCGAAAATATTGAATTATACCTTGAAGAAGCTTCATTAACCTTAAGTTGTTAAATACAGAACTTTTAATTTCACAATTTTAAAAAATAATTATGGAAAATTATAGCAAGAAAATAAAATTATAAATTTTGACGAAAAAGGTATAATTTTTTCATTCCGCGATGCCGCACTGCTGGAGGGAGGAAATTGTGCTGCCGCGATGGTTTATGCGGCGGCAATAGCTGCTGCAGTACCTGCAATTCCTGCTCCAAGTGAAGTTCAATCCACTCGCCGGAACACCAAACAACACCTCTCTCTCACTCACTCCAACAAATTCACCGATCCCACCGTTGTATGGACCTCATCTATATCCCTCCGTTGTCGGAATGGAGAATTACGTGAAGCCGCTTCCGAGTTTGCTCGAATGAGAGAAGCTGATGTGGAACCCAATCACATCACTTTTATCACTCTTCTTTCTGCTTGCGCTGACCATCCCTCCGATAGCATATCCTTAGGAGCTTCAATTCATGCCTATGCCCGGAAGCTGGGCTTGGATATGAACGATGTTATGGTGGGAACTGCGTTAATCGATATGTACGCTAAATGTGGTCTTGTAGATTTAGCTAGACTGGTATTTGATCAATTGGGTGGCAAAAATATCGTGTCTTGGAACACGATGATTGATGGGTGTATGCGGAATGGTGAAATTGAGGATGCAATCGAGCTGTTTGATAAAATGCCTGCTAAGAATGCCATTTCTTGGACGGCTTTAATTGGTGGCTTTGTTAAGAGAGATTATCACGAGGAAGCACTGGAATGCTTCCGAGAAATGCAGCTCGCTGGTGTGGCACCGGATTATGTGACCATTATTGCTGTCCTCGCTGCATGTGCCAACCTGGGCATACTTAGTCTAGGTTTATGGGTTAATAAATTTGTGATGAAAGAAAATCTCAGGGGCAACGTTAGAGTCTGCAACTCGTTAATTGACATGTATTCTCGATGTGGATGCATAGAATTTGCTCGTCAAGTATTTGAGCAAATGCCCCAACGAACGTTGGTTTCATGGAACTCCATAATTGTAGGATTTGCTGCTAATGGGCTTGCAGATGAGAGTCTAAATTTCTTCTATTCAATGCAGAGGAAAGGATTCAAGCCAGATGGAGTTAGCTACACTGGAGCTCTTACAGCATGCAGCCATGCCGGGTTAATCGGCAAGGGACTCCAAATCTTCGATCACATGAAAAGAGTTCATCGAATTACCCCGACAATTGAGCATTATGGTTGCATAGTGGATCTCTATAGTCGAGCGGGGAGGTTGGAAGAGGCATTAGAGGTGATAAAGAAAATGCCCATGAAGCCAAATGAAGTGGTACTAGGGTCATTGCTTGCTGCTTGCAGGACTCAAGGGAACGTTCACTTGGCTGAAAAAGTGATGAATTATCTGGTTGAACTGGACCCCGGTGGGGATTCCAATTATGTGCTTCTTGCGAACATATATGCTGCAGTAGGAAAGTGGGATGGGGCAAGTAAAGTTAGAAGGACTATGAAGGCTCGTGGAATACAAAAGAAACCAGGTTTTAGCTCCATTGAGATTGATTCGAGCATTCACAAATTTGTGGCAGGTGATAAATCTCATGAGGAGGTGGACTCTATTTTGCCAGTCTTAGAACTTTTATCCTTCGAATTGAAACAACGTGGATATATTTCCGAATTCACCACAAAAGAATCTTATGAAGATGACTGATTCTTTTACCTCACTCGTTTGCTGTGTCAAGAATATTGTACAGATGAGATCTTTTATACAAGTTTGTCGATTTAATAATATATCCAAAACAACTACAATTCTTCCCATGTCGTAGTTATGCGAGGTTGATTTCCACTTTAACCCCTTTTCGAGTTTCATAGTTTTGGCTTAAAATATGGGTCACTGGGTTAGAATAGGATAATAGTTCCCTTGTGTCATTCCCTGCTAGCATCTGCGTCATTGCTGTCACATCTTTGCAATAGAAGCTCAGGGTTTGTTATTGCATAGAGGAATCTTATCTTTTCTCTGCAGGCATTACGTATATTTTAAGAGTATTCCAGCGAAAGTAGCCAAAATCCAATGTCAATGCATAGTTTACGAGATTCTATTTCTGTCCAATCCATGAATGGACAGAAGGCGGAAATTGTGACATCTTGCAATGTGATCCTGCCTCTAGTTTCAAACTACCCGAGCACAAACGTCAAACACAACTTGTTGTTTCCAATAAGAAATTAACTGGATTTACTTGATCAACAGGAAGGAGGGACAAAACTATACATGATCTCTCATATTTAACTAGCTAACCAAGACGGGGACATTTTCTGACCAACGAAAAAAGACGGGGACATTTTAAAATATCAGCCAACCAAAAACGAAAAAACACACAGACAGAGCCCCAGAGAACAGTTCCTTCAGTAAATTTAAGGGGTTTTAGGCTTATTGGGGCTTCCACCGTTATGATGCAGTGGGTCTGGACCCGAAGGAACCTTCCTTAACTCCGGAGTCGCAGAATCCTTAACAGACTTGCTGCTCGATGATCCTCCATAGCCAGGCAAAGTTGTCTTCTTTACCCTCAAGGCAGCCAGCACCTGCAGAACAAGAAGATGTATTCTATAATGTCTCAACTCACAAACAAAATGAAGACTCTTTGCTTTCCTAGTTGTATTTTAATGATATGCTGCACAGTAAAAGCAGAGACCTTCCTGTTTCCAGCCTCCTTGAATCCCGTTGCATTAACACCAAAGCAGCCATGCACAGAACTGCAATCTACCAGTATATATGCTAACGTTAGATCAGTATGATGAATTCTGGAAACGAGGTTTTACCACGTGTTTTGTCAAGATGGTAAGAAAAGGAAGAGAGTGAGATGACCTACCAGGAGAAGGCTCCCTCATCAGGAGCAGGCACAGAACAATCAGTAATATGATACAAGCAAAGATGGATTTTGACGCCATAGCAGAGAGTACTAGTCGCAGATGAAAAGCAGAGGGAACCGAGGTTCACATGCAGTGTTTGTTGTGTGGATTGTAGAGAATAATGCTCAAATTTATAGAGGCGTGGTTAGAAAAGGATGAATTTTCAAATGATGGCTCATGCAGCCATTTTGTGAAGAAATGATTAAAGAAACACACCAACGAACAGACTATCGCAGACAATAAAAATACCAAGTGACAGCGCCGTCCTATGTGGCTGTCTTGTCGAGCCCCCCCAAGTCACCTGAAACTTGCCGATTCAAATCTCAGTCTTATTTACATGATGTCATAGTTCGATTCGAACGTCAAATAGCAAACCTTGCCATCATATGTTTTCCCCTCTTCTGGGTATCTGCTATATCAAATCTGATTCTCTCAGTTGCAAAGTCTTTTCTTTATCTTACATTACTGCCTGGACTTGCAGGTTAAAGGGAACAACAGAAGTAGTCATGTGTTGTTGAGGCTCATAATGAAAAATGAACGGGGTCGCCATGGAATATTTTTCTTTTTTGGTTGAGAAGATACAGATGCAGAAAGGGATGACAAGTTTGAAAGTGACTGATTAGATGTGGTTCTGGGCATCTTTGCTCTGAGTAAGATTTTAAAAAGGAAGCTAAAGCCCAAACATAGAGCCTCCACATGCTCTGAGCAAGATTTTTACTCAAATGGCTGGAGATGCTTCCGCAGTTAGGAGACTTTTTTGAGATTTAACGTCATCCTCTACTTTCGCCTGGCTCGACAGTATCCTTGGCTTATGGGATAATTTGATTCTAGGACTCTAGTACAGCATCTCACATAATTGCAAAAGCAAAATACAATTGCTCATCATTTCTTTCCAGATAATATAGTTCCATCTGGTGTACGCGAGTATATTGATCTTTTCCAGGCCTCAAAAATATAATAAATATTTTATCATAAAAATAGCAATAACGATACTCATTTTTGTTTAAAATATAAGCTAAATTTTATTAAAAAGACTTGTTTTTTTATAAGATAATATTTATTTTTGTTTAAACATTTAATGAGTTTTTTTTCAATTTTATCTTTATATATTTTCTTTCTTCTTTGATTTATTTATTGTATATTCTCTTCGTTAATAAGAATATATCTGGGAAAAAATTACGTATATATTTATTGTTTAAAATAATTTTAATTAGTTTCTTTATAAATAAAATTTAATCTATATTTTGAACGAGATGTAGTATATATTACCTTGATCGTATTGTTCACAATATAAATTTTGCGACTTCGGTGAATTTTATTTTATATGGATGGATGTTTTTTCCATATACAAATTTTCTCTCTCTTTTTTATATATAGATTGGATAAGGTAAGGAGATTTTCACACTGAGCACCAAAATGAAATTTAAGAAGAACCAAAATGTAGACGTTTCCTATTTATTTTAAAAATAAAACTTAGTTAATTAGAAATATTAGGTAAAAATTAATACTAAATAAAACGTACAATATTATAAAATATGTCGAACATCTTTGCAGTAAATAGCCGAGTAAAACTCACAAGCCTCAGTATAAGTCTACCTCTCTCATGGTAACTTTTTTTTTTTTTTTTTGAACCAGCACTCTCATGGTAAATTTAAAACAGAGGGGGAAAAAAGATCACTACCGACACCAAAGACAAGCATAGGGACATCACAGAAACATCCTTATTCCCTAAATAGAACCTGAAATTGCCGACAAACAATCAACCTGCGAGATGTTAATAATTGTGCTGTAAACGAGCCCCTTAAAATGTAATCTTAAATTAAGTCTGCTTAACATTTGGTTGGAGTCCCAAGTCTTTTCTTGTTTTGGCTACGAACAAATCCCCAGACTTGATCATGCCAGGAAACCTTCCAAGCACTGTCATGAATGGGAATTGCGCCACCCCTTGTCTCCTTCCAAGTGAAACTATGGCCACTGCTGGTTGTGCCTTGTAACTTGCCAATTTGCGTTCTTTTCCTCCATCTATTAGCAGCCTCAGGTTCTTGGCCACCACTTGAGCCTGACCTTGAGCATACACCCCTTGTTTTATTTCCTGTCGTCGTACAGATTTTCATTGAACATTCTTGCAATAAACATCAGAACTACAAAAAAATCAATTGTGTGTGTGTGTGTGTTTGATCTGATAGATGCTAAGTGGTTATGGCTATTATAAAGAAGAACCTTATATAAAGGTGATGATGGTTAGAACTTACAGGAACATCTGTAATGTCTCCAATGGCAAAAATGTTGGTTCTGCCCTTGACTCTCAGAGATTCATCAACTTTGATCGTTCCATCGACATTCAAGTCATTTTTTATCAGAGTTTCTCTGAGCCATGCAGAGCTGAGAGGTTTGCCTGTACATAGAAAATGGCAATCGGCTTCAATGGTGTCTCCTAGGGAAGTACGATATGTTGTGTCCTCAACAGAGTTTAAGTTCACTGATTGCTCCAGTTTCACCTCCACTTTTCTTGACTTCAACCACTTCATCGTCTTCCTCGAAGCCTTGGTCCCAATAAATTCCAGCAGCCTTGGTCCTTTGTGTACCAGAGTCACCTTCTTCTCCGGAAAATCAACAGCAATCTCTCCCGCCAGCTCAACCCCAGTAGGACCTCCTCCAATTATCAGTACGGAACGCGCAGATTTAATCTTTAGATTTTCTGTAGATATTGTCAAATAGAAGTTTATTACATGGTCAAAGTCAAACGTTAGACAAATACTGAACAACATAAACCGTAACCTTCAAACAAAGTTGAATGTAGTAGTCATGTACAATGAGTTTATAACCATTAGAATTAGTCTGGATAAGTTGGGCCAAGTACCAATTTGGATACCCTTCAAAATTAATCTTGAAGTTTAAACACAGTAAAACAAAAATATTCTCATCTTATTTAAAACATGCCAAATGAGATAATGTCATTCCTATCTCAGTCCTATTCCTTTGCTTAGTTTATAGTTTATAATCCATCCCACCATACAAAACATGGCATAGGAGAGAACTTCTGTTTTTTTCGACAACAATTATGTTAGGTGTTTCTATTCAACTAATTATATATGTATGTATGTATATAAAATCTTGTTCACAGGAGGAGTGAATTTGGGAGAACAATGAAAAAAGTGACCTGCTTTGTATTGGTTGAGCCTCTGAGCCCTAGTAACGGGGAGAGCTGGTTGGGTGTGACCAGTGGCAATAACAAGATAGTCATAAGCAATGTGACGGCCATCAGAAGTAATGACTTGAGTTTCTGTGAAGTTGACAGCACTGGATATCACAAGGCTTCCTTTTGTGAAGTAATCTCTATGGTTGATCACTATCCTCTCCGCAAAGGATTCCTCCACCATTCCCCTCAAGCTTGCCCACGGAATCTCAAAATATTCCTTCCTGTCAAATACATATATAAGCATTTAAATTTCACACACAATTTAAACTAGATCACTGCATGCAATATATATATATGTGTGTGTGTGTGTAACACGGTACTTGTTTAGAGAACAAAAAATAGGACTAAAAAAGGAGAGGTTACGGATCAATAAGGGTAACGTTGGCATGATGTTGAAGGGTTTTAGCGAGGGTGGCACCAGCAACGCCACCACCTACGATCACCACGTTCTTCACCATTCTCACTTGTTTTGCTTTCTTTTTGCTTATTATTGCTGTGTTTGCAGAAAGGAAAGCAAATATGGCAACATATATATAGAGAGGGAAATTATGTAGAATTTGAAATATAGAAACAAAGTCAGCTAATTCATTCCCAGGATAGCCTACAGTAAACCCAAATTTTCTAACTCGGATATATTATTTTTTGTTACTTGTTTATCAGGTTGTGATATATGCAGCTTCATTCAACATTCATACAGGTTCAAGCTTAGCTGCCGCCACGGGTCACCTCTTACTTGCTAGATTACTAGCCAGAGTCAAGGATATCCACGTCATGACAACTTAAAATTATTCATAAATAAAAAATAATGTAATTTTATATTATGCAAGATTTTTTATATCAACCCCGCGTACAGTTTAGGAGGAATAATTCAAAGCAGGCGGCGAAAAAAAAATTGTATCATATGTAATGAAAAAGGGATAATGTTTTGCTTTCTTATGAAGAAAAATTTTACCGGAAACCCTATTTTATTTATTTATGAAGAATCGTATCTGTTTTTTAAGGGTCAATCACATTTGGTGATGTCATGGAGCTGGCCGCGACGACCCTGTCTCCCGCCCGAACTACAGTTGGTATCATTTTCTCATTAGACTGTAAACCCTACAAGGCTACAAAAGCAAAGGTTAAAAAAAGCCTATTTAATTTGTTTAGTCGTCCTCTTGCGCGCGTATAATGATTTATATTGATTTTATTCTTTTTTTAAAAAAATTTAATGGTTTAATTATTCTTCTAGAATTTAGAATATGCTGGTTTATTTTCTCCGTTTGTTGTGTTTGACTATCTGGAAAAGAGACTTTTCCCCTCCCTCATCTTCCGGAGGCTTTAGTCAAGGATGCTTATCCTGTTGTCTTTTTCTTCCCTTATTTTTCTGCTGAATTTTATTTTCTCTTATCTTCTGCATTGCATATAATATTGGAAAAATTACAATCAGATTCCAAATAACAATTTAATTATCCTAAATTTCATTAATAATTGAAGAGTATGTAGTAATAAGCTTTATAAGAAAGAATGACAATAAATTTACATTGATTACTTGTTATTGAGATTTTTTTATAATTAAATTTTTTTTTAGAACCTCATAATAACTCTCTTTATAATATTTCAAAGAGGGGTTGCTTTATTCTTAAAAAGAGTCCATTAACTGCTTGCAATAGTTTGGGCATAAACAAATCAAATGCAACCTAATTGCTTGCTTGGTTACTTCCATGTGTGAACTGTCTAGTTTTAAACTATTCTTTTTAGGCTGCGTGCAATATAAATCAAATAAATTTTAATGCTTTCCATAAAAACAAATTAGAGATATTCAAACGACGGACGCTTTATTATTTGCCAAGAAAAAATGGTAGTGAGTATACAAGAAAATAATAGAACCAAGGCATAGTTGTTTAGATGTTTCCCATCAGAAACTATGACTCTTTCAAAAACGAACCAGATGGAAAACGTCTAAACACTACTAGACCTTTCATTCTTTTGTGTAAACAATTAACGCAGGCATGCATGCTGGTTAACTGCCAAAAAAGAAGAGTAAAATAATTTTGTAGACGCACCAACCTTCACTATCCTAAACACCCATTTGCTTTCTTGTTCTGCCCACAAACAAATCTCCTGACTTGATCAACCCAGGAATTCTGCCAATGATAGTGAGGCATGGCAGTTGTGCCACGGCATCTTTCCGGCCAAGTGAAACCATAGCGAATGCGGGTTGTGGACTGTACTTCCCCAACCTATGTTCTTTTCCTCCTTCAATCATCAGTCTCAAGTTCTTTGCAACAACAGCAGCCTGCTTTTGTGCACAAAACCCTTGTTTGATTTCCTGTTGTCATAGATTTCCGTTAGAAAACCTCCTATTCTTTTGTTTGCAAAAAGATTTCACATGCGAGAAGAGACGCATGCAATTCACGGCCTAAGTAAAACAACCACACAGGTTTGTTGGAGATCATGCACATACTTCCTTTCTTAACAGGAAAAAAGAACTCACGTGTTCTACCAAAATCTTCTTCTCAAGTTGATAACTTACAGGATTCCTTGGGTATCTAGGCATAAGAATTATGGACAGAATGAAGAAAAAATTATGGAAAAAAATATATATATGAACTGGCACAGGCAGTGAAGACTCCAGCCAACTGCCAAGGCACAAGAAGGGGCTAGAATCCAGTGATTTGATGTAATTCTGGCTTCATGATTTTGTTGGGACATCATTTACAAAGCCATATTACTGAGGCCCAGAGATGGCAAGAACTTTCAACTCCACAGAATCCAGGTAATATTGATGCATGATATATTAGCCGAGCTCAAAGCCCAAACCAACCGACATGCTGTACGGGGGTACTTCACAGAATGTTTGGCAAACAATGAGGAGATTGAGTTACTTACTGACTTTCTTATAAATGGGTGTGATTATGCATAAAACTATAATACCAAGAAAATATGAAAAACTTGGTTACGGAAAGCTTACAGGAACATCTGTAATGTCTCCAATTGCAAAAATATTGTGCCAGCGTTTGACTCTCAAATGCTCATCTACCATAAGCCTTCCAAGAACATCCAGGTCATCCTTTAACTCTGTTTTCTCAAGCCAAGCAGAACCACCCTGTTTCGCAGTGCATAAAAAATGACAATCTGCCACAATGGTTTCTCCAAGTGAAGTTCGGTATATTTTGTCGCCATCTGCTACTTCGTCTACATTTACTGTCTGCTCTAACCTCACCTCAACTTTCTTAGACTTCAACCATTTTAGGGTCTTTTCACCGGCTTTTGGCCCGATGAAGTCCAGGAGCCTTGGTCCTTTGTGCACTAGAGTAACTTTTTTATCGGGAAAATCAACAGCAATCTCCCCAGCAAGTTCAACACCAGTTGGACCTCCGCCAATAATCAGAATGGACTGAGCTGATTTTATCTTCTCATTATCTGCCAATGTAAAGAAACTTCATAACTCAAGCGCACCATATGTTAATATTTACACTGTTGAACCTATTCTATAAAAGCATTCGCACCACCACATGAAGAGATAGGCAATATAGTTAGCAAGCCAAAATAGTTAGCTAAGTACTTGGAATTCAATCAGTCACCTCATGAATTCTAATATCTTTTTCAATGGTTGAATGAGAGCTTCATGGTCCAACTCTCGGGCACACTAAAAAATAAAAACTAGAGAATGCTACGAGGGCCTTGCGGCCCGATTGTCATGAGGCTAGTTAAATCACACCGCAATGTCCTATTTTCCTCGCGGTAACTACAATGCCAAAAGTTATGAAACAGAGTCATCATTTTAGAGGTAGCATTAGATTATTTTTGTGCGCATTTTAAAGCAGTTCGCATTCCAATTTTTCCCCTTTGTCGGTCTCCTTTTTCCCATTCCACGTAAAGATTTACATTTAACATTACCTGCATTATATTGATGAAGTCTCTCAGTCCTACTTGTGGGGAACTTCTCCGCATGGCCGGTGGCAATGACTAGATAGTCGTAGCCAACATGTTGGCCATCTGCAGTCAAGACTTCAGTTTCAGTTATATCGATGGCACTTGATACAATAATGTGGCCACTGGGGAGGTAAGCTCTGTGGTTGATAGTCGTTCTCTCTGCAAATGATGGCTCAACCTTTGCCCTCAAGCTTCCCCATGGCATCTCAAAATACTCCTTCCTGAAATTAAAATGCTCTCAGTCAACCTAAAGATAATGACAAGCACAAATAAAGAAAGTCCATTCATACATCCCTTTAAATGATCAGCAGAATGTAAAAACGTTCCAAAACACACCATTTGACAACAGGGTTGAATCTTGAAATGGTGGGAAGTTGGACAAAAGGATGAAGATTCTGATTATACATTTGACGTGACAATATGAGACCGAAGGAAGTTCAGTGTTCATGCATAATGGGAGGGAAAATCCAAAACACGCTTATTAAACATCAATGCTGAATGTGAAAAAGTGGGAAATAAGGCCAACGGGTGAAAATGAACTGATTATGAATGTTAAGAAACTTCGAGTGGAGAATATGAGATTCAACTTTTAAAGTCAAACGCACAATGCCCAAGGCGCACAAATGTGGTAATACCGTAGTCGAATCAATGATGAGGATGGAGCCAACGAGCACAGAATCTAATACTATAATAACGTGTAGAAAACATTGGAAACTTGTGCTCTTTTTGACCCTACCTACTTTCCCATTGAAGGCTTGAAATAAAACTGCCTCGCCCTGTTAATAAATAATACCAACACTGTGACCTCTAGCTTTCATAATTTATTTTTTCATCAAACTCTAGTGGTTTTCTCCCACCCCGTTCCGACCCATCGGTCCAACTACTTTAAAAAAAATGTAGCATCTCGATCAAGATCTTGATGGGGGGAAAAAAACGAGCAAGTTGTTCGTTTCAGTTCGGGGCCCTACATAAAATCTTTCGAGTGGCACAGGCAACACATAAATGAAAAACTTACGGATCAATGAGTGTGACATGGGCATGAGACTGGAGATATTTGGCGATGAGGGAACCAGCAACTCCACCTCCTATGACTACCACTCTCTTTCCTTTCACTGGGGATTCATGCTTCTCCATCTGGGTGCGTCGGAATTGTAATATAGATTTCTGGCAATTTGTATCGTCACAGAATCAGATAAGCGACGCGTTTAGATAGTCTTTCCTGTCCGTCACCGCATCACTACAATTGGATTCACGGAGGCACCAACTTTGGTGCTCTCCGCTCTCCAAAACTGAAAGAGAGTCTCCGACTTCTCTTTCCGTTTTCTGTGAATCAAGGTTTTTTTTTTTTCATTTGTTCGAAAAAATATCACACATTCATCCAAGGACAATGGTTTTTAACTAAAAAATTTGTGGACGTACGCATTACTAGTTTGCATTATGAAATCATAAGGATGAAATTTGCTTGTCTAAATCTATATATGGATTGATAAGTTGATGGTGACATCCATTACTATTCTTGTTTTTGGATAGCAAGATAGTTTCAATATCTGATCATTTTAAGCTGTTGACAATTCTGTATTTTTTAACGAACCATCCTTATACAGTAAAAGTTTGATTAAGCTCGACAAACATGGTTTCTATTGTTATCTATTTATTGTCTCTACGTGGTTTTGTCATCCCTTTTATTCCAAAATACTGAAATTACGATGGATTTGATTTTATATCTCTTTGTGCTTCTGCATGTTTCGCGGGGGCGGGATTAATCAGCATAGCAGAAAATTGTTACCATCCGATGTTTGAGCCGCGTGATAACCAATTATGGGCTCACTGTTCAGAAAATGACAAATGTGAGCTTCAGAGGAGTTATTTGTTGTGGGCCGAGCCCTTAACCCAAATTGTTTTTGGGGTTGACCTATTTCAGCACAGCCTTAAAAAATTGCGTTTTTGGTAAAAGTCTTAAAGAATGTATTTTATGTTTTTATCAGATTTTTTTTAATTAATCTCGATATAAAATATGACAGTCACTATTTCTGAAGTCATAGAAGGTACGGCTTGGTTTTTTTTTTTTTTAATTTCATGCAAATGTACTAAGTTTGCTCCAATTCATATTTGATCTTAAGCAGGAAAAGGGTTCCACGTTGAATTATTTTAACAATTCATATTTGGTTTTAACCGCAACAATTTTTTTTTTACCAGACCGCAGCAATTATTTATCATATCAAAATATGAGATCGATATATTTAATTATGTAATGCCAGCAAGTGCACGTTTTGAGAGAGTACTTAATTGTTTGACCACTGGATTAATCCAAATGATGCCAGCCACAGTTGTTTTGAGGTCAATATATTTAACCCTTACAAATATTTGTATAAATCTAAGGATTATAAACGACAAGGGGTTCGCAGTCTTTCAACGACAAGCAAGACTTGTGAAACAAAATGGGGGGGGGGGGGAGAAAAAGGTTATGGAGTTACTAGAGTGAAGATGTAGATTTAAAAAAACGTATTACCTCCGCTGTCTAATATAAAAACTAGTTAGCTAATTTGGGTAGATTAAAAAAATAGTTAAATTAGTTATTTATAATAAATAAATATTATTTTTTTTAAAATGTCTTTACTAATCATATGTATGAGCTTGAACTACTGTTTAATGAAACTTTACTGTGTACAATTATTATAATGACTATCTTAAAAAAATAAATAAATAAAAGAGACAAGGTGAATATAAGTCTTATATTTAGAACCAAATTAAATATCAAATTAGCTCTTGTCTTACGGATAGAAGCTAATATATCCAGATTCTAAGCAATGCATGTGATTAATAGGTATCCAGTAAACCATGTTATCTTCATGTTTTAGATTTAATTCTATTCTGTTTATTAATGAAGCAGTTGGTTGTTGCAGTTGGAGGAGCGAGCTTAATTACCTTGTAAGGTATGAAGGAGGCGAGGATAGGGGGGGTAATTAATTAATTAATGGAGGAGTCAATCAGGGGAGAGCCTTTATATATGGAGCAGATCAGCAACTGGGCACATGTAAGTGCGAGGTTTAATATAAGATTAGTTGACCTGTACGTGGCTTAAACATACAGTTAATGATGATAACACGCAAAGAGAAAGATGCCATCCAACTTAGATTAACCACTTTAACTACTTCCTATAAGGACCTCCCCGCATCTTCTGCTCTCCGCATATATTCACTTCCCTTGTAATCACTTTCCTTATCTCTTTTACCTGCTTTGTCCAGTAAGTGAACCGCAACAAGTTTCACACACATCTTTAAGTAATTCTCGTTGAGTATGTAAAATTAGGGTCATTCAGTCCAATTAATACTCCTCCTGTCCTTAATATAGGACCCAATTATTGAGTTAGTTTTGGTTCTAAATATAAGACCCACTTCTCATATTTATCAATTTTCTCTAAATTATCCCTATGGATACTCTCTCAACCATAATCAAGTAGAAGAGGGAGATAAGGTATTAAGAAAGATAATTATGGTATTTTAGGAAAAACGTGTTACATTTTTTATAATTAACTAACTTACCTAACTTCCTTAATCTAATCAAATTAACTAAATGGGTATCAGAAGAGTATTAAACACTTCATTAAATTTTTCTTCTGTATTAGATTGCGCATTCAATGTGCGCGAGTTCTTGTCAATGAGTAAAGTGCATATTAAAAAAAAAAAAGTCAGTAAATTAATGCCGCTGATGCTATTAAATTGTCTGGATAATACGAATTGCGAAGACTTTGGAACGAATCGAAGCTGATGACGTTAATGACTTATTAACTTTGGAGTTTTTTTTTTAAAAAAACTACTATCTCTAGCTTTTAATATAAAGTTAGTTTGACTTTTAATTTGATCTTAAATATAAAATCTTAATTTATTTTATTTTTTATATTTATTTTTTTCAGTGTAATTCTTATAATAGTTGTATATGTTAAGAGTTTTATTAAATGATAGTTCTCAGTAATACACTTGATTAATAAAAATATTTTTAAAAAATAATATCTAATATTTATTATAAATAATTAGTTTATATCTATTTATTAATTCTTATACAAGTAGCCGTATATTTTTTCACATAAATGAGAGAGGTAAGGGCACGTGAAGGAACCGGAGTCGGGGCCCGGGCCTTACGGTACTGAGAGTCTGAGGTGTTCCCCGTAAGAGCATGTGCCCATGTTAGCCTGGGGGTACGGTACAGGGAATAATCCAGCGGTATCCCCAACTCGCTCCAGACAAACTAATCCCACCACTCCCGCTCTGCCACCGTGGCATCCCTCACCTCGTGCCTCTTGGTAATATTCGCTCCACTGCCACCTATCAAATACTGTTATTATTTCTCTTCAATCATCTTCTACATCACAGAGGTTCTCTATCAAGTATGAACTGAAATATACTCAGATTCTCATTCTTTTTTTTTTTGCACTAGACTTTATTAGTCATTTATTTATTCAATCTCTTTATAATCTCCTCTTTCCCAGAAATTGTAAGACAACTCTATCAATCTCTTTGTTATTTTTACCCTTCTTGAAAAATATTTAGTTTATTCCTTTTTATTGGTTAAATTTTCCCCTGCCTCATGGTAATTAACTTAGCTCTTATTTAATAAGAGAACTTTGTGGTTTAAGTTTTTTTTCCCCTTCGTCTTTTACTTTTTTGGGTTCCATAATCTGCATTGTTATATAGACAAAGGTTCTCAGGTGAACAAATATGATTATTGCCGCACTGATTCCGATGATGCTGATAATTTTCTCGTAAGCCAAAAAGTTCGAGAGATGGCTTAATTTTATAAATAATTAGTAATCGAAGTGCTCTGAGAGAATATTCCCGCGTCACAGAAAAGAGAGTACCCCCCCCCTTTGGTCTTATCAAACAACATACTAATTTCTAAGACATCTCGGTCTTTTAACATATATCTTTGATTAAATCAAGTTGACTCTCTTATTTTAGAATGAATCAAAGCAACGGGTCAAGTGAAATTTGTATTTCTTAGTAATAATTTGAGAGCAAACACATCAATTACTGTTAACATTTTGAAAATGTTTTAGAAAATGAAACAAGAAACCTTAAAAGAGTGCCTTCTGACAGTCAAGGAAGGATATTTTTTTTTTTAATATCACCTCTAATCATATTGTTATATGCTTTACATGTTTCGAGAGAAAAGATGTTAAAGTTAGTAATTTATATTTTATATGTCAACAATTTGTTATCCACTTTTTAAATATCCCCTCTTGCTACCGGCTTTTGGTGTTGGAAGCTAGAACATGAAATGTAAACAATCATATGCAGTCTTATAATATTGAATGCAGTCATGTTATTAAGGATGGGAGGATTAGAATTTTTTTATTTTAATAAATTAATCAGCACCTTCTACTGGTTTTGATGTTGTACAGTCTTATAATAAGAATAAGAAGAAGCGATTTGAGAAAAAAAAACTCAATTAATGAATTGGATGAAAGGAGAGTTAAGATGTTATACACAAGACAAAAAATGAACTCCTCGATTAATTTTTAAAATCAAAGCAAAAGCAATAACAAAGCAATAGTTTATATTCAGGAGAACATTAGGCAAAGTAAAACAAAGAGCACATGGAAGGATGTGCAGGACAGTGCATTGAAAGTATGGAACAAAGCAGTATCGTGTTAAAATACATTGAAATCAGATTTTATTTTGGGTTATCACATGTGAATCGGGGCTTATTATATATGTTTACTTGTTTGTGGCTGGTGTCTGACTTTAATTTTTATTCATATACTTCAACCCTTTTTTTAGTATCCCTTATAGTACATGCCCATGATCTCTTTATCTCTTTAAAATGCTATGCTACTGCTACGCCAATCTTGTGGGGCAGCCTTTAAGTTAATTAATGAAGAAAAATACTGAGCCACAATTATTACTGATTTATTATGGAGGAAAGCCCCATTATATTATCCCATTGCTAAAGCAGAACCGATTCTTGTATGAGTAAATGTGGATAGGAAACTGAGGACCATACTCACAAAAACAGGTTTGTCTTCTACTGTATGGACTTTACTCCGTTCTTGAATTCCAATTTTGAGGACATTATAGTTTGATTTCAAATAATTAAAATACATAATTGGTATGATCTAGCTTGATTTGTTTCTTTTTTTTTGTAACAATATATTTTATGTAATTGAAAACAACACGACCTAAAAAGTATATATATGTATGAATTTTTTATAAATACCGGTATTCTTATACTAAAGTTCAAAAAGCTGCCGAATACCAAATGTAGACACTTTTCTCTTATTAAGAATTTTAATCTCAAATCATCATATTATGAGTAACTAGTCTTTTTTACTAAGCTCAATCCCTTTTAGCTAAATATGGTTGTATAATGTATTCATACAGGTCAAACTTGCCCGCATCGAATCTTTCGTAAATGCCAAAAACAGTTTTTTTATTTATGATATCTGAAATCAAAATCTTATCAAACCAACCAAACTAATTACGTGTTAAATATGTCTGTAGATCTATGTACTTAAGTGAGTTATCGCAGATACATGTGTAGAGAATTCTAATAATACATCTTAATGATTTTTTTTTTTTTGAGTGCGTATAAGATCAAATCGCAGTGCTTCACAGAGTAGAATTGTAGCAGTGTGCTAGAAGCTGATGCACTCAGTCACGGAGATATTCGTTAAAACATCAACATCAAAAAGAAAATAATGAGAGGGTCTTTAAAACAAATATTATTCCAAGCACGATGGGGATTTTTTGCATGACTGCCTCATTTTTATGCGTTTCTGTGACAATTTTGAATTTGATAGGTCTCTATTTCTATTTTCATATGCCTTATATTAATTAGTTGTAAGTTTATAACTAAACAAGCAAATTTTTTCCCCTTTTCCTCGCGAGATATGAGGAAAATTTTAACTTGGCTCATACTCCTCTCTCGAAAGCAATGGTTTTTCCCCCACATAGTAAAAGTCCAATTTTCGTCCTTTTATCACACATCCCTTTCTTAAGAATGGAATCTTTTTTAGTGTGTGAGGACATCCCCTCTTTTCTTTCTCTCTAAACAAAACCCCAGAAAACAATAATGTTCGGTATATTTTGATAGGTAAATTAACGGCTTTTGAAATTTTAAAATAATTTTTAAAAAATGACTTGCTTTTGATTGACCCAACGATGCGCAAAATCATCATCCTCCCTTCTCGAGATTACAAGGTCTACAATATTTAAGTTTTGCAAAATTAAAGATTAAATTGTAACGTAAAAAATAAGCAATAGCTTTAGAATGTTAAGATCCATTGATACTGCTTTTTTTTATCTTCCTTTAAATTTCAATACTTAATCATTTACAGAATAATTAAATTTATATTATAAGTCGCTCAGATTCATTTTCCTTTGCCACGGACAAAGGGTATCTTTGCGAACAACATAGATTGACTTTTCTTGAAACAAAAAGCAATTTCTTCTGTAAATTGGCTAAGGGGGTGTTTGGATAGAAACCAAACCATGGTTTCAGAAGTGCTTTTACGAATTACGAAATAAATATGTGAAGGAGGTTACCTCGTTTTGCGGAAAAGTGATTCTGAAACCGTGGTTTTGGTTTTGCCAAACACCCCTTAAGTAAAAATCGCAACACCTGCCTTTTTTTGTTTTAACGTTTCCCATTAATTTTTGGATTTTTTTTTTGACCAGACCATTAATTTTTGGATTGGACGTGGGAGATTAATATTAGTATAATATATATTATAATACACACACACATGGAAACTTAATACTACTATTTTACTTTTTAGAATAGTTAAACGGAGCGTAATTTTCAAATCTCGAACTTTCTGGTTTTTAGATTGTCCACAAAAAGGCGAACCACGAAAGTCTAATTAAACCATTCATTTCACCCGACTCTTTCAACCCCCTACGACCCAATCCATTGAAACAATTGTAGCCAGTACAAATCACACTCAAAAAGGATGTTATTTTAGATCACCTACATTAGTAACGAAGAGATCGCGTGATTGTTTCGTCTCAACTATTTAACGTTAACCATTATTAATTAACAAATTCATATTCAAGAATGATATGACTTCCCTAAACACGATAGCCTTTTCTTTTAATGTTACTATTTACCTCCATGACCCCCAACTTGTTAAGGGACCTAGTGCGTGTCTGGATAACAATAATCGGAAGTAACATTAGGAGAGCCCAGTTTAAAATATTTGATTTAGCAAAATTAAGATTTGAGGAGTAAAGCCCAGTTTTATTAAAAAAAAAAAAAACACTGAATAGAAATTAGATTTATGAAAAGTGGATTTGGACGTCTAAACCTAATTTGAGCATTTTTATGGGAGAATGTCGTTGAGGGCCTACAAGGAAGATAATGACATTTTATGCCTATATGTGATAATCAAATACGCTGGCAAAAAAAAAAATCAAATAAATGTTATAATGTAACAAGTCTAAAATGCCCTTCTGCAGGTGCAAGAGTATTGTTCTGCGACCCATATGAGTGTTCGTATACGGAAAAAAGGGATGCAAACGAACAAGAAAAACCGAAAGCGCCGTTGATAATTGAAACAGATAACTCTCATTTGATTTCAACAAGAAAAAGAAAAGAAAATGATATTTCTCCCATGAGGGTGACATCCTCCATGGAAATGGCCCCCTATTATTATCTCGCCACTAATGCATATGAACGGAAGGGAAAGAAGCAAAATTAATTAAAAACCCAAAAAAAATTGCTGAAAGCTCGCAAGCTGGTAGACCAGCTGTGACTGTCGGCGTATAGCCCAAGCATACCCACGAGCTTCTCTCTCTCTCTCTCGATCGAGCTCAGCTAAAGAAAGAGAGGATACTCCATTCTTCCTACTTTGGTTTAGCTTCCCTTGAGCTGCTCAAAAAATTGGATAACAAATTCTCTTCGAAAAAACTTCATTGTAACTTTCCTAACGTCAATTACCCTCTTTATTTGTTGCTGCCGCCATTACTATTATTGTCGAGTGACGCACAGTGGGTTGAAGCCGAAGTATGAAGATCACACGTTGCAGCCAAAAAGTCAGTCACATGAGAAAAATCACAGAAGTTTTAGCTTGTTAGTGATTCGCTCGCGGAAGCAATGTAGAGCAGGTAAATCGCAGCATTGGGCAGAGAACACGGGCTACGACATCTTTTTCGGCATTATACTTTTTGATTCGGAAATGATTTCGGCGTTGCTGCCGGAGATCGGAGAAGCATTCTGTTCCTGTTAGGTGGTTTTTCGAGGGAGAAAGGGGACATGGTGTGAAACTCAATTGCTCGCTGTATTTGAATCCGGTTTTTGCCTGTGTCCTTGCTTTTGAATTTTTGGTTCAAAGAACTGGGCATTCCGTTGAATTGGATCACGAACAATGGAGTCTCGGATGGATCAGTATGAGATCATGGAGCAGATCGGTCGTGGAGCTTTTGGAGCTGCTATATTAGTCAATCACAAGGCTGAGAAAAAGAAGTAAGCACCGCTTGTCTTTTTTCGCCCCCTCTGAAATGTAGCGTATGGAAGTTACATTCGCCGAAGAGCAGGTTCAACATTTGACAAATGAATCTACGTTTCATGGTTTGCAGATACGTGTTGAAGAAAATCAGACTTGCGCGACAGACTGAACGATGCAGAAGATCTGCTCATCAAGAGGTGAGTTTGGCCTCTAATCCCTGCCTGCTTAATTGCCTTGTAATTAAAGCACGCTTTTGCTTTTCGGGCATTTAACCGTCGAGTTTTCTGGATATTCTAGATGGCTCTCATTGCCCGAATCCAGCACCCTTACATCGTGGAATTTAAGGAGGCATGGGTTGAGAAGGTGAGGATATCCCTAAATTCATTTTTAGTATGGTCGTAATCTAAGTTTTGTTGCAGTTGCTTGTTATTATTCACCATTTGCTTCAAACTAGAAATCAATCTTTCATAACTGTTTTTCTTTGAACTAAGCACATTTTACTTGTAATATAGGGTTGCTATGTCTGCATTGTCACTGGCTACTGTGAAGGCGGAGACATGTGAGTATTTGAAAATACCTGAAAACTTGAAGCATCTTGGTTCACTCCATGGAAGTCATATGCTGAAGTACTTAAGTTGTATGTTTATTTTAAAATTTTATATCAGGGCTGAATTGATGAAAAAATCAAATGGGGTTCACTTTCCTGAGGAGGTATTTTGGTGTTATGGACGTATATATGACATATGTAGTTGCCTTTCTTGTACCTTCAATTGGATTTCAATTTTTATGGTGACTCACATTTGAAGTTGTTGTGCCTGCCCAGAAACTCTGTAAGTGGTTTACCCAGTTACTGTTAGCAGTGGAATATTTGCACGCTAACTTTGTTTTACATCGAGACCTGAAGGTACACTAATTCAAAGTAACTACCTGCTGTGAGTTCTTTTCGTGTTTTGTTGTAACATTAAGACTGATCAGTTTACTATCTACAGTGTTCCAACATCTTTCTTACCAAGGATCACGATGTTCGCCTAGGTGAGATAATCTGCAGTCATTGATTAAAATGAAAATAAATGTACCCTAAATTTGTCTGTAATTTTCTGGAATTTGTGTAGGGGATTTTGGGCTAGCTAAGACCTTAAAAGCAGATGATCTGGCTTCTTCGGTATGTGCAAACTGGGAAACTTACTGCTATGCTGTTTTTGAATCTTAGCTATTCATTTGAGAGTTTCAAAGAATTATAGTAGACTTTGTTACTTTCTCGTTTGACCTGACAAGTTTCCTTCGAATTGCTTAATTCTTCATATGTTAACGCCATATGTCAATCTAAGCAGAATTACTAGTTTAGGGCTTTTCATCTTCAAATCATATCACTCCTTCTTGTAAGCTCTATTGGGTGGGCCATGAGCTTAAAATGTGTTATCCATGATGTTTAGCTTAAATTGTCATCCATTTATTGTTTGACTTTTGCCTGCACACCTTACCATCCAGTTGTTATTATTAAATAAGTTTCTATTCAAATTCTTAGCATCACAATGTTTACATACGCATACTGCGGGGTGTGGAATCTGAAATTGTTTTCTGCACTTGTGTGCAGGTGGTGGGAACTCCGAATTACATGTGTCCTGAATTGCTTGCAGATATTCCTTACGGATTTAAATCTGATATTTGGTCGCTAGGTATGTGATTTTTTGCGTTTAATATCAGATGCTTACAGATTGGGCTTTTCCCTGGCTTAAAATACTGTTTAACTCTCCAGGGTGCTGTATATATGAGATGGCTGCTCATCGCCCTGCTTTTAAAGCTTTCGTAAGATCTCTTCTGCTCTTTCAATTTATAGCATCTACTGTTATTTTTGTCCTGTTTGGCATTTCAATTAATGCACTATCCTCAATAATACATCTCATTTCTTCATCTAAGTTGGCAAAGTGACATTTTTGGACCGTGGAAAGTATAGGATATTATTTTTTTATATATGGTCTTATTAAATTGCATTATTGAATTAGATTTCTGATCAAATTTTTACCAAAGCACTTTGAAGTCACTGGTACCACCCCACGGCGGTCTGTATTGGGATTTTTCTGTTCCAGTGTCTTTGGTAGAGTTTGAAAATTAATCTTATTTTATAATTAGTTGTACATGCTGTTTGTTTATTTGAGTGACATGGTATTGCTTGAAATTTAAGTTCCTAAAATTGGTTTTCTATGGTGCTGTTAATTACAGGTTCTGGGTGATCTATCTTTTTTCAATTTCATACTTTTCATGCAGTTCTTCACAATATTTATATGATATGTGTGCATGTGGAGCAATCAGTGCGTTTTTTTTCCCCTTTTCAGATGTTTTACAATGGTGTGATATATCTTGTTTCAGGATATGGCAGGATTGATAAGCAAGATCAATCGTTCCTCCATTGGTCCTTTGCCTCCCTGTTATTCCCCATCTTTGTAAGTCTCCGTTAAATTACACTTGATGAGATTAATATCGCAGTATATTGGGTTGCAGGAAGCCATAGAATAAGCCGCAATCTTTGAAATTTTTTTAGATGATAACAAATATTATGCATGCACGTGCTTTTGTTTTCTGCGTGAGGACGTTGAAGCACTTCGTTAGATTTTTGTTTTAATGCACAAACCCAACTTTGTTTTCCTCTCGCTATTGTGATTTTTTTTTGTGTGGGCATTTTGCTCATTGGATACGGAATTATTAACAAGCCAAGCCATTTCAAAAGGCACATGAAATATTGTAATTCAAAGAATGGGGGGGTTCTAACTTGAGTGGTCTAAATGGGCTCATTACTATAGAACTTAATAGGAAAGAAGTGAAGCATTGTAGCAAATTTTTAGCAGGGCAAGACTGTGATATTACTTGATGCTTGGGATAGCGGACCAGGAAGAAGGTTGAATTAGTAGAAGGCATGGGGAGGAAATTATCCTGTCACAATCCCCTTCTCCTTAACTTCTCCTGCCATCCCCCCAGAGGGGGCAGGGGTGGTGGACGAATTCATCAAGCACTCATGGACTACTCCACTCAATATGTAGTGTTAGCTTCATTTAGCAATGCGAGGAAGATAATACTTGCATTGCTTGAGCTGGCACACTGGCACTCGCCTTTGGCCTAGAGCAAGGCCAGACCTTGTCATGGGCTTGGGGTGATGCAAAAGTTTCTTATGCCAAGGCATAGCATACAAAGGACATGTAAGAAGATCTTGTTGTTTGTTGTCCAAATGGTGGCTTTGATGATTGTTCTTAAGTAAAGGGTACACTAGTTGTTTATCTTAACTAAGTGGTTCCTTCCTCTCACTGGGAAGCACCAACTACTACTTATAGCAAGCTTAACAAGAGCCCCCTACTTATGGTAAGCCTGGCAAGAGGCATTTTTCTTCAATTAAGTGGAAGCACCACTGAGGCGTCTAGAGGCGTTGCTTCTTAACTTCATCTTATTAATTAACCTGTTGGATTAAAGTTATTACTTAATATAAATAAGTTAATATGAAATAAAGGCCGTCTGGAACATTTTCTACTTAAAATCATTTAACTCTTGCATCTTCTCTCTCTTCCTAAGAGTGTGCTGAAGCATACGTTATTATCATTACATCATTAAGTCTTGTACATGCAGGAAAACGCTGATAAAGGGCATGCTGAGAAAAAGCCCTGAGCATCGACCAACAGTAAGCATATCTGAAGAACAATTTTGTTTCCAATGTTTAAACAATTTAGATTTACCATCGGCACTTATACATGAGAATCCGGCTTCATATTTTGGACAGGCATCAGAGATCTTAAAGCATCCTTATTTGCAAACTTATGTTGAACAGTATCGTCCATCTTTCAGTCCTCCAACATCCTGTTCTCCTGAAAAGCCTCTTCCTGTTACTGATGATCCTCGAAGAAATATGGCTGAAAGTCAAAACAGTTGCAGTTCAAGCAGCGACAAAGATAGTTCAGTGTCAAATGACAAAATCATTTCAACAGTGGTGCAGAAGTGCAATAACAAAACCACTGAGACAGATATAACCTCCATCGATGATGAGGATGGCTCTGAGCATATCCCGCCTAGTGAAGAAGATACTAGCTCCAGCACTAGTAATGCCAAAGTAGATTGCCAGGAGGTGATGAAACCACCATCTAATGAACGTCAATCAATTGCTGAATCTAAACAACCAAAAACAATTAAAAACATAATGATGGCACTAAAAGAGGGAAAGGTTAGAGAAAATGGTTCTCCAATGAGAGGCAACCGCATTAAGGCTGTTGGTGCATCAGCGCAGAAAACAAATGCAGATACACTGCCTAAATTGCCCAAGTCCAGTGCTGTTGCTCCTGGTATCAAGCCAAATTTAGAGTCTCCAACTTTGACATCGGCAAAGACATCACCTGATCCTTCCAGACGAATGCCAAGGTCACATCCTCTAAAGAATCAGGTATCTTACCGCTGGAAATTATTTACTACTTAGTTCATGCTTGCCCTTTTTTTTTTTAATTATTATTTCCTCAAAACACTATTATTCATTACTTGTATATACATAATGTATTCTGGTAGGCACTACTGATGGTGGACTCTTCACCAAAAACTAAACCCAGACACGATGGGACTCCCCCATCTGGTCCTATTAAACAAGTTGAAGGAGACGGAGTTTCTGCCAAGGCGAGGCAAGGGACCCCCCCTAGTTTACTGAGACAGCCTTCATTTAGAGGAGGAATGAGGCAGGTTGGGCTTGATGTACGCAACGCAGCAAATGATACAGAGAAGTTAGGTCCAAAAAAAATATTGCAGGAGCCGGACAAGAGTCATTATAAGGTGCTCGATGGTCATACAACACGTGCTTCTAGAGAGCCTACAGAGCCTCAGAAGGCTTATGAAAAATGTTCCAAAGGAATGCAGACAGATAGCAGTAATTCTGTTTCATCTTCAGTGTCTATTCAAGGATGTGAGCTTTCTGATGATGCAACAAATATTATTGACATGAGAAAACAGAAGCCTTCTGATCGTGGGAGTACAACACATGCTGAAATTATGAAGTCACATCCAGGCAAAAGTCATTATCAGTCACCCAATGGTCATACACCGCGGGCTTCTAGTGAGATCATTGAGCCTCAGAAGGCTTCTGAAAAATGTTACAAAGGAATGCAGGCAGATAGCAGTAATTCTGTTTCATCTTCAGTTTCTATTCAAGGATTTGAACTTTCTGATGATGCAACAAATTTTATTGACACGACAGTACAGACGCCTTCTGATCACGGGAATGCAACACATATTGGAATTATAAAATCACATCCAGGCAGCAGCCCACCTGCAACCTATTTGCACTGTGAGATGGCTGAAACAATATCTACGGAAGCCTCTGAGCCCACTTTGAATCTTCAGAATACAATTACTAACAATGAGAAAGGAAGTTCCAGATTAACTCCTGATCACCATGCTCCAGATTCCAAGGAAATATTGGCTTCTGAAGATAGTCTCCACATCAATCAGACAAGTACTTCGACTGCCACTTCATGTGATAATAGATCTACAAGTCCCTCTGTTGTGGCCGGCGAAGAAATTAAAGATCTTCAGGATACTACTAAGCAAGTGACTTCAACCCAACCTCCTAAACCTCCTCAATTGAGTGCTGGAGAAAAGTTTGTTTGTGGGGAGGTCGCTTCATTAAGCAAGCCCGGTAATAGGCCTGACACAGTAGTTGGCCAGCCAAAACCCCTGCTTGAGTCCACTGGTGATGACAAGTTCACTGTAAGGGAAAGACTGGCATCTGCGGCTGAAACTGCTCCACCAATCACCTCTACCAATGACCAAAAAAGCTTGCAAGAAGATAAAGGAACCATTTTGCATAAGCCAGTGATAGAAAGGCCAGCTGTTGGTAATCTTCCTCCAGCTTTTGATGATGTCATCCATGTTATACGACATAGCAGTTACCGGGTTGGGAGTGAACAACCAGTAAAGGAACCTGGGGAGATGGGAGTTCAAAACGTGGATGTTAGTAAATTTCTCAATGCTGTCAGGGATGATTTAGAAATGAGAAACGCGGGCACTTCTCTGACCCATAATTCCTCAAATTGTTCTGAAGCTGCGAGCTTGAAGCCTAACATTTCTGATCAGTTAGACATGAGAAGCATGAGCACTGCTCCAGCTCCAAAACCCTCGAGTTGCTTTGATGCTCTGTGCACGAAGCCAAGTGTCTCTGATCATTCCAGTGTCAAGGAACAAGACGTGAAAAATCTTGTTTCTCTAGTTTCAAAATCCGATTCCCCTGCGTTGACTAAATGTAACTCTTCAGTGACTGAAGAGGAAAGCCCGGCAAAGGAAACTTTGGATGTTAAATCATTCAGGCAGAGAGCAGATGCTCTTGAAGGGCTCTTGGAATTGTCTGCAGATTTACTGCAGCAAAATAGATTGGAGGAGCTTGCTGTTGTTCTGAAGCCCTTTGGGAAAGATATGGTATCCCCAAGAGAGACAGCCATTTGGTTGGCTAAAAGCTTAAAGGGAATGATGAGCGACGACAATGGTGGACGTTGATTATGGGGTATTTCATCCGCGGTAAGGTTGCGTGTCCCTGATGTTTAAAATTGCTTCGCTGGCTCTGAGATGTTTCAAGTACCACTTCAATTTTTAAGAGATTGAACAGACTCTGTTTTTTTCTTCCTATCATTTTTGTAATTCTTTCAGCGTCGATACCGTTGTAAATAGTGACCATACAAACTAATAACATCTACTTACCAAGTTACCATCAATTGTATGGATATGATGGGTGCTTTGTTAAAGTGATTAGTGAATATGTAATGAATCTGTACACTGTTCTTCCCTCCTGAAAACTGCGTTATCACGCATGTCTAATTAGGAAAACGAAAATTACATGCATTTTGTTAATGGTTAATTTATCAGTTTGTTCACTTATGGTAAGTAGTTTTTATAGCACAGCGTAAAGCTTTTTTTTTAAAAAAAATTATTTAAATGATATTTGCATTGAGTAGCTTAATGGTAAATTTAAGAAAAAGAAAAGCTGTTTAAGTTTTCTCTTGTAAATAATTTAGTAGAAACAAAAGATAAGAAAAAATTTGAGGAATCAATGACTAGAAAATGAAAACTCCAGTCATTGCGAATTGGAAATCACTGTGAAGTTGAATATGAAATTGTGTTCACGAGAGCTTTCGAGGCCAAATTTGCATTAGTCTGATAAAATGCATACGTAGGCCAAATTCGTTCTATCTATAAGATTTTTTTTTTGGTGGGGTGAAAGTTCTATACTTCTATCTATGAGATGACACAAGCGCACACACTTCATTAGGTGTTAAATCTGCCACCTCACTTCTTAATATTCCCTTCCATAGCAAGGATTGATGCTCAAGCTGCAGAGCAAGAGCCACTTCCTTCTTGGAAGCTTCGAGGAAGCTTCCCCCCTCGAAGCTTCGTGGCTATTGCCTCGAAAATTACGGATTTTCTTCTTCTTCTTTTTTTTTTTAAAATGAAATATATTTCGAGTCTCCTTTATTTATTATAGCATGTGTCTCCAAATGCGTGTCAATATTCCTCGTGTTTTGAAATACTGTTACCTTCCTTAGCAAGATATTCTCTGTCCTGTCTAGTTCCATCCCAAAACAAGACATGGTGGGTGATCCTGGTACCAGCAGGAATAGGACAAGCGGGTCCAATTGGGTACCAAAACTCACCTTCTGCGTTGTTTTGTTGTTTCTTCTCCTGGTGTGCGTGGTCGGCATGGCTTGGCTCGTCATGAATCCCCACGAACCAAGCATTCGGGTGGGTTCACTTTCTGTATCCCACTTTTCAGTTTCTGATTCACAGCTCAGAGGCACGTACGACATCGGATTCAACATAAGCAACCCCAACAAGAAGATAGACATGCTCCTCGACGAATTTAGCGTTTCGATACGCTATCATAAAGTGGAGCTCGCTCGGGCCACGGTGCAGAAGCCGGAGCCTATCTCGCTGGAGAGGAGGAGGGAGATTAACGTGAAGGTTCCCATAGTGATGAAGGTGGACTTGCTCAAACTGAGGAAGAAGAAGGTATTTGCAGAAGTGAAGGAGGAATGGAGGGGTAGGAAGATGGTGAACTTCCACGTCGGAATGGAAGTGAGTGTGAGATTTGAAGCTGGGAATTGGCCACCAAAGTCGAAGCTTTTCAATCTGAACTGTGGTGACGTGGGTGTCGTCTTCTTCAGAGACCCCAAAGACGCCGCCGGCAAGCTTGTGGGTACTGGTGGGAAGGATGAATGTCATGTTTAGATGACAGCTCTGATTTCCCTTGACGCGCACGCTCACATGTAGAAAGATGCACTTATGACTTGGTGAATAGTTCAGGATATGCAGGGTGTGAATATGAAGAATCGCGGGGCGGATTCTGATCAGCTTTTGATTTAAGTGGCCACTCATTACAAGAAGTTAACGGCGTAGGCTGACATAACCGAGGTTAATGATAATCATGACGTCGACGGTGGCGAGTCATGTCACGTCGATCTTGGGGGGCTAACGAGCCTTGTCATGTAATGGGCGTATAAGCTTCCGTATCATTCATTTTACTTTATATATACTTATAAAATATATAAAAACGAGGTTTTTAAGCTTATACAAACCACTTCTTATAGCTTATTTGGATCGACAATCAACAAATACCATTGCACAAGTCGGAACAATATATTTTTTTTTTACATATTTACCTCATATTTCATAAATTATAATTAAAAAGGGGGAAAAACATATCATAGGTATCTCTACTTTCTCTTAATTTTTAATTTGGTACCTATGTGTTTTTTCCTCTTAATTAAACATTTAATTTTTTTTAGCAACATTAGTTCTTATAACTTTGTTCTATTGGCATTTTTAGTCTCTATGTAAGGATTAATGATGTTAGTTAAGCAAAATTAGAGATTTAGCTAAGAACAAAAAAACAAATAGATGCCAAATTGAAAATTAAAAAAAATACAGGTATCTACAATATGGTTTTCCCCAAATGAAACGGCACAAAAATAATTTGGTGAACGTGAACTGTTAAGTGTCTTTTGTGCCAAAGTATTAAAAGGAAATATAATGACTATTGATATATATCTTATGAATATAATAAATATTGGATTTTTCAATCTTTTAGTATGATAAATTTTTTTTGTCAAGACAAAGTGACAGTTTTACATTTGAATAAAATGGTACAAAAAATAATTTGGTGAACGTAAAATGTTAAATGTCTTTTATGCAAAGATAACAAAAGGACATAATGATTATTGATAGAGTAGTATAATATAAATATAATAAATATGCAATGATTCTGTACACTGTTCTTCCATCCTGAAAACTGCCTAATCACGTATGTCTGATCAGGAAGAAGAAAATTACTTGCATTTTGTTAGCGGTTGTTTATCAGTTTGTTCATTTATGGCAAGTAGCTTTTACAGCGAAGTGTAGAGTTTTTTTTTTTTTTTTAATATTTACATGATATTTGCATTGAATAACTTAACGGTAAATTTAAGAAAAAGAAAAGCTATTTAAGATTTCTCTTGTAAATAACTAAGTAGAAACAAAAGATAAAAAGCAAAAATTTCAGAAATCAATGGCTGGAAAATCGAAGTTATTAGAAATTGGAAATAACTGAAATTGAGTTTGAAACAATATTCAGGAGAGTTTTCAGTACGTAAGCGAGGCCAAATATGCATTAGTCTGATCAAGATTTATGTATAGGCCAAATTCACTCTCTCTGTAAGATTGCACTTTGTACATATAAATACACACATACATATATATATATATATATATATATATGTAGACACCTTATTAGACGGTCTTAAAAGCTTGGCGTAATGAGGGCGCCCTCCATGTCTTTTTAATATTCACTTCATTCTTCAACAGCATTAGCAAAGATAGAATCGCAAGGCAGGAATAATCGCCTCCTTCTTGGAAGCTTCTTGGAAGCTTAGTGGCTATTACCCCCTAATATTTTTCTTTTTCTTTTTCTTTTTTGTTTAATGAAATATTTTCTGACTTTATACTACATATATTACTCCAGCCTCTATTTCCAATACGTGTCAATGTTCCTCCTGTTTTGTATAATTGTATTACATTCATCTTCCTTAACAAGATTGTCTCTTACCGGACCACCAAGATCCAAAATTCGACGCCTCATTACGTATCTGCCCTGTCTAATTCCATCCCAAAACAAGACATGGTGGGTGATCGTGGCAGCAGAAGTAGGAGAAGCAGGTGCAGTACTTGCGTCCCAAACATCACCTTGTATCTTGTTTTGCTGTTTGTTCTCCTGACGTGCGTGATCGGCATGGCTTGGTTCGTCATGAATCCCCACGAACCAAGCATTCGAGTGACTTCTCTTTCTGTATCCCACTTCTCAGTTTCTGATACAGAGCTCACAGGCACGTATGACATCGAATTCAACGTGAGCAACCCCAACAAGAAGATAGACATATTCCTCGACGAATTCAGTGTTTCCATACGCTATCATAAGGCGGAGCTCGCTCGGGGCACGGAGCAGAAGCCGGAGCCTATCTCGCTGGAGAGGTCGAGGGGGATGAACGTGAAGGTTCGCGTCGTCATGAAGGCGGACTCACCCAAACTGAGGAAGAATAAGGTATTTGCACAGGTGTTGGAGGATTGGAGGAGGATGAAGGTGAAGTTCGACGTGAGAATGGAATTGAGTGTGAGATTTGAAGCTGGGAACTGGCCACCTAAGTCGAAGCTTCTGAATCTGAACTGTGGCGGCGTGAGTGTCGACTTCTTCAGAGACGGCAAAGACGCGGGCAAGTTTGTGGGTACCGGTGGGAAGGATGATTGTCATGTCTAGATGACAGATTTGATTCGCTTTCACACGTACGCGCACATGTAAAAAGATGCAGTAGTTACGAATACTTCAGGATTTACATATGAATGTGAAGAATCTTAGGGCAGATTCTGTTTAGCTGTTGATTTTGGAGGCCACTGATTAGAAGAAGAGAAGTTAACGGCATAGGCTGACATAACCGTCGAGTGGAGTACGGTGAGTCCTGTCACCTCGATCTTTGGGAGTTAACTAGATTAGTCACCAGGGGCTTCTGCTCATGTTTCTGTCTGATCACCAGAAAAAGAAAAGGAATACTGTACTGTTATTGACTTCTGGGTGTATATGAGTGAATAAAAGTGTGCGTCGCTAAATGGGGAAATCCGTTTCCACTTTCCACGCATCCGCCCAGAAGTTTGCATGATGAGAGTGAACAGACAAAGGAGGTAGATAGCAAATTTAGTTACCGTTTAAATTAATTGTAGAAATATGTGAAAGAAAATTTATCTTATAACATATAAAACGAGTTTTTCTAATTAAGCTCATGCAAACCGCTTCTTAAAATCACAAAACAATAAGAAATCCACGTTCAAGTCCGAACATATTTGACAGGGAAAAGGGTGTGAATTTCATCACCAGCAACACTCACAGATACGTCAATCAATAAATGTGCGGGTGTGCTATCTTCAATTTTTGATCACACCCATAAGTTAAAATTAACACAAACTAATCATCTCATGAATTAATTTCATTTCTATTTGTATGCTTTATGATCTTGCCTTTTGGTCTTCACACGAACGCGGTTTGTGTCTCCCTGCGTTCCTTGTCTCTCTCTTTCAAGACGACGCATCCGCACACGCAACGGCCAGAATCAACACAGAAGAAAGCACCGGGAATTTTAAAAGTGAATAGAAAATTTATATAATCTCAGTAATGCTTAACTAAAAGGATATCTCTAATTCATTCATTTTAAATTTTTGTCACCGAATGAGTAAAGATCACATTTTTCAATTTATTTATAATACGGCAAAGCAAAATCCATCTATTAATAAAAGATTCTCATCCGGTCCTAAATGTAAGTTAAAATGGGTCTTATGTTTAAATCATATTATAAAATAAGTCTTATATTTAAAATAGAAATGAGGGGATCAAGAATTGTTTTTGTAGTTTTGCATTTGCCAGCTAATTATTTTAGCAGTGCAATTACCCATCAGGTGAGTTCTTAGTGGGCCTTACATGGGCCCAAGACTTCAAAAGATGAAGGCCCCATGCTAAACCCTGGGTAGCCCACTATGACGTATGACAGAAGTCCATCGTTGGATAAGTGGGCTGGGTTGCTTTGCATCGCTTCCCTAAATTTGACAGCTTTACATTTGAATAAAATGGTACAAAAAATAATTTGGTGAACGTAAACTGTTAAATGTCTTCTACGCCAAGGTAACAAAAGGACATAATGATTATTGATATATAATATAAATAAAATAAATCTTGGATTTTTCAATCTTTTACACAAGGATCATGCTAATAATAATAAAACAAAATAAAATAATAATAAAATTGCACGCATTTTAGTGACTCAAAATCAAAATCGTGTTACCGTGCTCACTTCTCTGTTGTCAGTGGGCCGTCCATCTCTGATGTTTCCAGAATATTCCCCCTCCACAACTCTATGATTCTATTTCTCACAAAACGTCATCCTTGACGGCGTAGGTTTACCTCTGCCTTTTGATAACCCATGATTTTTCAATCGGGTTTAATATAAAAATGGCTGCTTTTAGATGCTGATGCAAGTAGGCACTTAATTAATATGTCAGATTGGCAGTTAATTTCTCACTCCTCCTCATTATTCTCGCATAATTCTCCCATTTCTTCATTCCTCCTCCTCATTATTTTTTTTATTATGTTTCCCTTTATATTTATAATAATTTTTTTATGATTTTTCTAAAGTTTTTTAAATTTAACTCACTCATTAAATTTAACTTCTTCATATTAAATTAATGAATATTAAATTAATTTAAATTTATTATATTATGTAAATTTATTTTTTATCATGTTTCATTATTTATTAAAACTCATACTCATTTTGATAATTTTACAAACAAACTTATTTTCATTCAATCATAGTCTAAACAATTTTGTATCAATCTAACTTTTACAAACTAACTTTTTTAAATTCTAATTCAAACATAATTCACCTTACTTAATTTAACTTTTACCCAATCTTATTTTTTTAAAAATCAGATTGAAAATAAGTTACATTTTTTACTATTAATCTAAACTGACCCTAAAATGAAACGAGTTTAAAGGTTACATTTAAAATAAGCAAACCAACAGAAAAAGAACTAAAATTTACAAAACAGTTGCCCCTTGAACAGGGGCATTACTTAGTTGTTGTTGTGGTTTCATTTTTTTTTCCTCTTTCCCCTCTATCAAAAAAAAATGACAAAAGAGTTTTAAGAAATAACTTTAACACTGACAAAGAAGGAAATCATAAATAAACATGAGGATTTTCTTGCCAAGTGTTTCCGTTTGAAGGAAATTGAGTGATTCTTTTTTCATTTTATTGGGGCCTACTTGTATAAATCGCTTCTGTTGGTTTTACAGCTGTAAAGGTGAATTAATATTCATGGAAAAAAATGTGCAAATTGACCGTCTTGATTAAAGGATGGTTCCTAAGAATACGAAATACACAAACAGCAGGTTAATCAAATCAAACATGCGATGGAACGTGATTGAACAAATAGAAATTTTTATTCTTAATTCTTTGCCAACTTGCTGTGCTCATTCTTTTATATTTCCGATTCCAAATTGATGACACCCTAAGCAGAATTTTTGGCGTTCCCTACAATAGTAGCTAGGTTACTATTTATATAATAAAATAAAGCCATATCGATGAAATTGCAGTCGTCAGGAGTCCAATTGGATCAGAATTTTGCTTGAACTGCACTAAAAAAAAAAAAGGATAACAGAGAAACAAAAAGAGAAACGGCTTTATGAAGCAATTTTTGGTTATTAAAAAACATTTGTTAATTTTATAAATAATCATTATTATTTGAGAGAGAAAATACCGAGAATCTTATTAAGATGGATGCTCCAAATTACGTGTAAAAATTACCGGGAAAAAAGAGGGGGAATAATAATCCTCCGCGTGATCTTCTATGGCGGAAAAAGTTGGCGTAATGAATGAAATCTAGAATACCAGATTTCTTGGCTGGGTTGATCTCTCTGTCCTCTGTATTTAGTTGCTGTCAACACCTCCGAGGCTTCAATCCCTCGATTCTGCTTCCGTAGGGGTGCTATGCAAGACCCTTCTAGACCCGCCACCGGCTATCCTGCGCCGTCTTATTACCAAACCAACGGCGGCCAGGCACCGCCTTCTGCCACCGCCTACCCCTACTCCGCTCCACACCCATACCCTCAAAACCAATACTACAACCCCAATCCTTCTCGCAATTACTTCACTCGCTCCTTCGTCCGTTCCTTCATCGCCACTCTCGTCTGCCTCTTTGTGATCTTCGGTGCTATCGTCTTCATCGTGTGGCTCGTCCTCCGCCCTACCTTGCCTGACTTCCGCCTCGACTCTTTTTCTCTCACCAACTTCTCTGCCACCTCCCAGTCCGTGAACGGAACATGGAAAGCCGGCTTCCTGGTGCGAAACAACAACAAGAAGATGACCATCACCTACCAAGTTATTGAGGCCAGAATCGTTTACGACACGTTGTTTCTCAGGGAACAGCTTCTTCCGTTCAAGCAGGATACTAAGACTGAAACTCCCTTGAACGCAACGTTCTCAGCTGTCAATACTCCTGTGAAGAAGGAGGTTGTTGATGATATGAATGCCAATAAGGCAGGTGGGTCTATTCCCTTTAATGTGGAGGTTCTTGCTTCCACTGTGTTTCGCTCCGGTGCGTGGAGGTTGAGGGCTCGGCTGCTGAAAGTGTCCTGTCGCCGTGTTCCTATTGGCATTTCATCGAACAGTACGTCAGGAAAGTTGTCAGGGGGAGCCAGGGAATGCCAGGTCTGGACCTGACTGATTTGGTGCTTAAAAAGTTTATTAGCGAACATTTTCGTTGAAACCACATAGTCGAAAGATCTAATTTTACTTTTGTTTCTTGTGGTCGATGGTATTATAGTTTTCTATTATGCTTAGGTAAAATGGCTGGGCAGCCTTCATTGTGCAGAATTCTCCAGAATTTTGTATATATGTTGGTTAAATCCGCATACTGAGTAATTTTCCTAATTCTTCGACCTATTATTTGCTTCTTATTCTCTTTGGAGTCGATTGATAATTGTCATACACGGAAATTTGCACATATGTGTCAATGGGAGATGAAAAGAGGAAGTACTATATCTTAATTTATACCTTTTCTGCGAGTAAATTAGCGAACAGCGGTTTCAGTTCTTGGTTTGTCTCTTATTGGAGTCTACTCGACTACGGCAAGCCATTGACTTAATCCTATGAGGATAGGACTTGCCCATTGCAATAGATGTTGGCATTTGGCGCGTAGTTGTCAATTTTCTTACATAAATCGTTTACACTTGGAGTTGCCTTAATGTCTTAGAGGTGCCTTAATGTATTCCACTTCATATATCTTCTGTTTAAACAGGTCGTTAATTCTTGTACTTATGAACCTGGCATGGTTCGCTATCATAAGAGTTTTAACCTTTTTTCTTAGTTCCGTTCAATTCAACTGGAGCATAAGTGGTTAAGCCAACTTCATTTTTGGATATGTTAGTTATTGACCATTTCAGGAGATGATTTGAGGTTTCTGATATTAAAAATGAACGCAAACCAACCTCTATTGCATTTTATAAGTAAAAGAATTGACCCATACAACTGTTCGTTTCGGGATTTTTTTCCTAAGATGTAAGTTGATGAAACTATAACAATTGAAAAGTGCAGTTTATTAGGGCAATTTAGTCTTAAATGAAGCCAACAATGGATTTGTTAGGGCAATTTTATAAGTAAAAGAACCGACGTGGAGTTTTTCAATGTCCCTGCTTTATATCTTATAGAACCTGATTTGGACTTTAGCAAGTCCTTTTTTGGACAATCGTTCCTGAGGACTCAACTGAATGGGCGCTGTTGATTGTTTATCCATCCAAAATGGCTATAGTTGAGTCTAGCAATGCAAAATAATATTATTTGTGGTTCCCTATTCTGTGTAATCTTTATGATGAGTAATGGGGAGAAAGATCATATTTTTCAGAGATCCTTATGAAAGTGTTAATAAGAATCAGTCCAAGGTGCATATAGGCCAGGTAGATATAGGTTGTGAAAGTTCAATAATGTTCACCTATTAAGGGTTGGCCCCGTCCATCAACTTTCATTGTGGTTATATCAGCTTCTCTTGCATTCATATTATGGCACTTGGCATCCGCTTTGGAGTTGGTTGAGAAAATATAAAAATGAAGTAACTAACAATTATAGTTTTGGTCCTAATGGTACGGACAAGTGTGTTTGGAGTTTTTGTAGGTTTTGATAAGCTCCTTTGTGCTGAACTATGTTGTTCAAGATGAGTTTTCCTTATGGGATGGTGCACATGTGTTTTATTGCAAGTAGTCAGCCATGAGGCCCGTTGATATTTTTTATAAGCAGTTCAGTACTAGTCTGTGACTCTGGCTCATGGGGTTTGTTGCTATTTTGGAGCTTGGAGAAGATATGAGTGAAATCTGAAATACAGCCATGAAATTTGATCTTGCTATTTTGGGTATTGCGACCAGATCATTATCAAATTTACAAACAAAAATTGTAAGTATAGCTAGCAAAAACACTGGTATGCTCTCAACTCTTGATATTCTTGAGAGAATTAGGCATTGCTGTCTTTTAACATTTCTTTACCCCTCTGGGGCAGCGGCAACAAAATAAAATATGTATGTGTACTATTTTGAAGTTTGAAAGAAGAGAAACAGGTTCTGTTATCAATTTCTTCACTATGAGATGTTGTTGTCTAGAATTGCAATATCATTCACCAAATTTTGTTGTCCATGACCACGACATGATTTCTTGCAGTTTATTTAATTAGTGAAATAGTTCAATGCTTAAAATAGGCTTTCATTGATTTAGTATCAGTAATATTCTCTTGAATCTTTTTTGTTCTCCTTCATGATCTGGTGCTAATGATGGGTGCATATTGAATATCCTTGAGGTTTTTGGTACGCATGTTCTTGTTGATGTCTTGTAATAATTGAATATATATCTTTTCGTGGATGTGTGAATGGGCTGTGATAGGAGCTGAATGTTTTTTCTCCGGTATGGATACCATTCATGGGGACTTTCTCGTACGAAATTGTTTTGTTCATGTCTCCATTGCCCCAAACTTGTTAAGTAGAAGTTTGAATTCTTGGCCTTGTTTTGGTGAGTAAGAACTTAAGTGTCATGTTTTCTGCCCAAATTTTCCTGAGAATTATTTGAGCTCCCAGAATGACCTTCAGGGGGTGTGCAGTAATGCATGTTAGTGGTTCATTTGCGCTCCAGAGGCTGTTTTCGATTTACCTAAACCAATCACTAATTAGTACATGTTTGTTATTTTATTATCTACCTGATAAGCACACAAAAAATTGGTGGTGTTAATTTGGCCAAGGAATCTGCTATCTGAGTGGACAGTTGCATCCAAACACCCTGCGTTGATGGGCGTCATTGCATTGGCACTGTCGATGGTGTAGGTTTCAAGCTTATTTTTATTTTGGGTATTGTCGATTTAGATGTTAGAATGTGGCTATTCCATTGATTGGTTTCCATCTGTTATCTATTACCGTTCGTATTTCTTAGTTGCTTTGCTTACAGGTAGAGCTGGGAATGCGGGCTGGCGGTGCGGATACGGGCCAGCCCGCAGCGGTGCGGGCCGAAAGCGGTGCGGGCTGAAGTAGCCCGCACTTTGGCGGGCTGGCATTTTGCCAGCCCGAGCCCGCCGGCCCGCCTAAGTTTTTTTTTTTTTAAAAAAATATTATTATTTATATAAGTTTGAGCTTAGTTTGTAATGTTAAAATTGGACTTGGAGTTTTAAACTTGAGTAATGAGTTATAATAAAATAATGTGAGGATTAATTTATAATTTGAGAATATATTTTAGAAAAACTAACACATATTTTTTTTCTAAATAATTAATTTGACTATTTTTCTTATCCAAATTAATTAAGTAGATCTTTTATGTATGTATTACATATGCAATTACATGGATGAGAAGATGTAAATATGAAATTTGGAGGTTAAAATCCTCCAATTATGTTGTATAATATATTAGAAATTATATAAAATTAAAAATTTAAAAAAAAAAAAAAAAGCGGGCTAGCCTGTGGCGGAGCGGGCTGAAAGCGGTGCGGGCTGGAGTAGCCCGCACCTTGGCGGGTTGGCATTTTGCCAACCCGAGCCCGCCATTTTTGGCGGGCTGGCGGGCTGGGCCCGCGGGCCCAGCCCGTATTACCAGCTCTACTTACAGGTCGGAATCACTTGGTCTTGGAAGGATTGTGGTCATGGATTGAGATCGATTCCTTTCTTAGCCTTTTTGCCATCCTCTTTTCCTCGCCTTCTTAGGTTGTAATTTTTGCTGGCATCTCTTTCACCAATGAAGTGATATGATCATGATGCAATTTCCTCTTTGATTGATTCTTAGCCTTTTCGTATTTGGTCGGTTCACTTTATTTGTGAATTGTCTTCTCAAGGGAAGAATATCTTGCTTCTACTTCATCTATGGGTATATGCAGAGGAGATGCTCAAATGTTCAAAGTAATTCTTGTGGCACTTTACCTCCTCCTTAAGATTTACATGGAGAACTCTAGTTTGAATCCTACACGTATTTAGTGACTAAAAATTTAATGTAGTCATCACAATTTTCGCAACTTCCTAATCAAATAATGCCCTGAAACTCGGGGTGCATTCTATTGACCAAATTCGTAAATATATCAATTCAATGGACTTTGTCATCATTTTTCCCCTATGCCTCTCTTTTCAGACCTTGTTAACTTTCACTTTGCTGAGCACTTTTCCAATTAATTTTTTCATATTTTTTATCAGCAAATAATGCCAAATAAGCAAGTCATATTATTTATAGCATACGAATGTGAATAATGCCATTCATTAGAATTTTTATGTCATATGTGATTTTTTTTATGTATGAATTTTTCAAACCTAAAATCTTAAAGTATTAATTTTGTCTTGATCCTTTGAGTTTCTCTATTGTGATAGGAGTTTTTTTTTTTAAATGATCTTCTTAGATTTTTTTTTTAAATTATATGTGCTAAGTAAAATAATTACCTTCATCAATTATTTGATGCCAAGAAGTATACTATCGATGTCATATGCACATTAATTAATTTCAATTTATGGTATTAGCGAAGACAAATTGTCAAGAGACAAAATACTTGGAGAAAGAAAACGATATACGAATATACATCTTATCTTTGTTCCCATGATGGATTGGAGCAGGGGCTATACCTTACCTTTGGTTCTCACCTCCTCTTCCATATCTTAGGCTCTCGCCTCCTCTCTCCTGCGCTGACCCCATCTTTGTCGTCAAGTTATCAAAATTCTCTTGCTCTCAGTTCTTAGAGTATCCCATTTACCGTATCATCTCGATCCTCATATATTTGAATGTTTTTGTAGCTTTAAATGCTCATTAGAGATCATTGCCATTCAATAAATTATATGATGGTAATATAGAAATATGGTTGATGGGAAATTTCATAATTGAGGATCAAAGGAATAGAAAGCTATTAATCATCCAAGCTGCAAGCTACTTACGGGATGAATTGGTGATGGATGGAGTCTTTTCTAAATTGGATTTACGTTCAAGTTATCATCAAATTAGGATGAGGGGGGAGGATCTACATAAAATTGCATTTCAAACTCATGGGGGCCATTATGAATATTTGGTTATGCCATTTGACTTTACTAACGCTCCTATATTTTATTTATGAATAGTATCCTTGGTGATTTGCTGTATAAGCATGTTTTGGTCTTCTCTGATAACATCTTGGTTTCTGACTCTCAACATTATTTCAGATTCTTGGAAAGCTTCTTACGTAAGTTTGTTCCATGTATATATTATGTGTGCACTTCAAAGCGATAGTAATAAATATAAACTATGTCTCACCAAAAAAAACAAAAAAACAAAAGAAATATGTTAGGCATACTTTTTAATAACTCACTTATAATGGATTTATCGATGTATCTATAATTGATTTAGTTAATCAATCTGAACTAAATTTTCTTAATAATCTCTTGTATCCTTGAGAATAGAGACTATTCAATAGGATGCATATTTCACGCTTTTGAGGAGCATGTGCAGCTGCTTATGGATAGAGATCCATTCCTTTCTTTGCCTTTTGCCGTCCCCTT